TCCATACGTGAAAGATGATGTGATATGACGTAATTTACCCAAGAAAAACTATGTGAAAATGGGGCTTGGTATATGGTTTTTGCTAGGAAGGAAGATGTAAAAGGTTTAGGGTTTTGAATGTGTCAAAGCATGAGTTGTTTGAACGATTGGGAGTTTGAGCAATGAAGATTATCTTTGAAGATTGAGGCTTGAATGTCAATATTTGAAACTTTTATTTTACTACTCATTACGCTTTTTGGTTTTATCAAACAAAATAGAAGTTCACATGGACGCAGCGAGAATTCTAATTTAAGGGCCAAGGTATATCTAACAATATAAAATGAGAGGGACAAAATCAAAATAAATTAAAATTTGGAGGCAAAATAAAAATAAACCAAAATTTAAAGATCTAAATACATGTTTTCCCTATATATTTTTGAATAATAAAAAACTAGGGTACACATGGCTCCTCTCTGGAAGTCCAAGCTGGTTTTGAAATTTTCTGTGAGTTAAGCTTCCGATGGACACGTTATTTTATGTTTAAGAGACAAACTTTTAAAATTTTAAGAGTGAATGAAATTAAATTTTTTTAAAGGTTCTAATAAATTATCAATAAAAAATACGAAAAGTATATAAAATAGCAAAATTTTAACTATTTTTTATACATTTGGTGTGAATATAAGGGGTAATATATGTTCAAAGACCCTTAACAGATTTGTAATGAATGTTCATACTCCTATCGATGTTCGAACTCAGGACCTATAGCGAGAAAAAAAAAATTCTTAATCACTGAAATCACTTTGTTGATGCAAAATTTTAAGCTACTGAACTATGAACAGTGGTCTCATAACAAGCAATATTGAGAATTTTGGACTTTAATACCTATGATACATGTAACATGATTGGTCGCTTAATTTTATATCATACTTTATAATAGTATTATACATTATATATATCAACAATTAAGATTTTAATTCAACAGAACATGTTCTTCCAGTTGAGACCTCTCCTTTGTCAGACTCGTATTTGGGCATGATAAGAGGGGCACTTGCCCAGAGCCCAAAATTATAGAATTTATATATAAATAAAAAATAAAAAATTATTTATTTAGTCATCTATCTATCTATTATTTTATTTTTGTTTTGATTATTTAATTTTTTTTCTTTAAAATTATACTTAATATTACATTTTAATTTTATTGGTTATCCATCGTTAAAAATTCAACAATGATATTGATAATTTTAAAATTATTTTTCGTTTTACATTAAAATTATACTTCTTATTTTATTTTTGGCTATTAGGGGTGCACTGAGCAATTAATTGTTCAGGTGTGGAGATTTGAGAGCTTACGGGAGAAGAAAGGTAAAGGACAGAAAAGAAAATAAGAAATGAAAGAATGGTAGGCGCACGTGGTTTTGGAGATTGTTAATAGAAATGGTCTGGGTTTAGGAGAGAGATTGGAAGCTTGGATTAATAGTTAGTAAGTCCGAATTCAGGGATAACGAGGTCCTAGATAGTTCACTATTTTTGAAAAAGATATGTTTTGGGTTTGTTGACGTAATGAACGTGTTTTTGGATTCGTTTCATCAAATTCGAACCCGTTAAATTATTTTTCAGCGTTTTACCTTTTAATTCGATTTGATTATCACGTTTAAGTTCTACTTCTGATGCAATTTGTGTTACCATGCATCCGATATATTATGGGACGTTAAAATCAAGTTCAATGGCAGTCGAATGGAATTTAAATGGTAGATCGATATAACACAAAAATTTAGGTAATACTTTACTACCCTATGCATGTTTTATGATACATGTTGGTAACTGATTAATGCATATGATATGATTGAATCAAAGAAAATGACTAAAATGCCCTTAGACCTCAAAATGGTCGAAATACCCTTTAGCTCAGAAGTGACTAAAATAACTTCGAGTATTAAAATATTGTAAACACCCTCATGACCTAAAAATAAGTGGATGTCAATGGATAGATTCTGGAAACACATCTTTGGAGCACGACCCAAACACATCGGTTATTTTGGATACTATTGCAATAAAAAATCTATTAAACATCATTGGAATACATGTTCGTCTTCTGAAGATTTGTTCAATGTTGATTCTACAAGAGATCCGTTCAGCTAGTGTAGTCGGTACTAAGAGGTGAATATTCGTGAAAGATCTCGATCTGAATGATTGACAAGTATCCCATTGTTGGGATATGAGTAGTCTAATCTGACTCAAAATTCTGATAAATGGATATAAATCTTGGATACTCTAAATCATCGTTTTAATTGGATTAAGTTAATAAGATTCCTTCATGAATCAAAATATATAAATTGCCCCTGGTAGTTTGAATGATGATTTTTTTATATCTGAATATTAAATACTTCTAATGTAAAGGTTCCTGAATATCTTTCGGATGCACCCAAATTCTAAATGGTCCTGAATCATTTTCTAAATGTTTGATGAGATATGTTAGTAACCGAACCCTTGTAATAGGGACCTCGATTCTGAAATTGATCAATGTATATAAGTTTTATATTTTCCCTTCTTGATAAATATCAAGTGCATCTAAAAAATATATGAATCCTCTAATGTATTCCCTGCGTACTAAATGACCATTTATTTGTATTGAAATTACGCATTGATATATAGTTAATTTACAATGGTTTTTACTGATGGATATATTGATTTATTGGTTACCGTTTATAAACTATGGTTGCCTAAATTATGCTCTCTGGTTGCTTATTTTACTAAAAAAAGTAATATGCCTGATTTATGAATCATAAAATTATTGTTTACTACCTGAACTACTTTATTGGGATACTTTCTGGGTATGATCTAGAGTATGGAGATTCATCTCTTATCAAGTTAGTAAATTCTTACAGACCTAAGGTGACTCTTAGGTAGGCTCTTAGGCCCCGAGGTGTACTCTCTTGGGTAGGCTCTAAAACCCCAAGACACTTCCTTATGTTGGCTCTTATACTCGATGGGTATATGATAAGTCCTTATAGATGCAGTTCTAGAGGATTACAATTTGGTGTACGGATGAAGAGGAATTATGTGATTTAAATAAATTTCATTGTCACTTTTACGAGATTCTACAAGATCATGATGTTGATATTACATTTTACTGCTCAATCTAATTTTTACTGGGGTACTATCTGGGTAGAATTATAGAGTACAAAGGTTCAACTCTGATTAAACTAATAAATCCGTACGGACCTAAGGTGACCCTTGGGTAGACTCTTAGGCCCTGAGATATTCCCTTCGGTAAGCTCTTAGGCCCCAAGGTACTCCTTGGGTAGGCTCTAAAGCCTAATGCATTCCCTTAGGTTGACTCTTACGTCCAATGAGACAAAATAAGTCCTTATGGATACAATTATGAGGAACTACATATCGGTATACGGGTGATGGGTAATCCTGTGTTTTTAAAAATATGTTTTACTGAAATAAACTACTATTATATTTAAACTATGATTTTATTTATTCTGGTTTTATGGGAACACACTAAACGTCATATTCTGATTTTCTGAATATGTTCCTCTAAACATTTCCTTTGAACTGTAAGCTCCCTCTCTATTACCAGAAGAAATATCAGTGAAACCTCAGTTCATCACAAAAGCCTTTAGATGTTTGAATCAATAAGGAAAATTTTATGTTGTACCATATATTTGCTTGTCCTCTAACATTCATATGGTAGTATTGTATTACTGAGCTTCCCAAAGCTCACTTTGTTATTTACCATTTCAGGTTAAAAATCGATCTTGTGCGGCTATTGACATCAATATGGGAGTTCCTTCGGCACTACTTGAGAGTACGATACATATGTAATTAGGGTCATATAGGTCACATTTGTTCTTTAAATTGAGACGCTATTGAATTCTATTTTAATATGTAAATAATTTTTCTGAAGTTGTGTTTTTATTTCTAAATTGTTTTACGGTTTGAAAAGGGTTAATAAAAGTTTTAATTTTTATTGATTTTTATGGTGGGTCGTTCTGATGGCCCTAATGTGATACCCCATATCGAATCAAGTTACCTGTATCGGTTTGATGGTATTACAACCCCTAATTTTTCTATTTTATTGCTTATTTATATAATTTAACCCTTGAATTTTCTTTAATTTTAGTGTTTTATCTTTGCAATTGAGGTCCTTAATTTTTGTAATCCTACATTTTATCTTTATAATTGAGGCCCTTAATTTTTTTCAATCCCATTTTTTATATTTATGATTGATAATCCTAAGATTTTTAATCTCGTTTTGTACCTTTATAATTAAGTTCCTGATTTTTTTAATCACTTTTACCTTTATAATTGAAGCCTTTAATTTTTTCAATCTCATTTTTTACTTATATAATTTAGGCCCCTAATTTTTTTTAATCTCACTTTTTACCTTTAAAATTAAGGTACTATTTTTTAATCTCGCTTTTTTACTTTTATAATTGAGGTCCCTAATTTTTTCAATCATATTTTTTACTTTTATAGTTTAAGCTCCTAATTTAATCATTTTTATATGATTTATTAACGTAATGTTAAATTAATTATTCAAAGTATTAGAATATACTTTCGTTTTATAAAGGTCTATATTTTAGTTTCGCTCAGGGTCCCGAAAATGTATGATATAGCTCTGTATTTATTAGATAATTTATTTTACGTAATGAAAAAATAATTTACAAACAAATATATTTTTTTTCTTACTCTTACAATTTAATTTTTTTCAATACATATTATTAGAGGCCTAATTTTTATATTCGTCCAGGCAAATAAAATCTTAGAAATGGGTCTATCCTTTGTGTTGATCAAAAGAAGAGGAAAAAGGAAAAAAAATAAAAACTAGGGTTGAGGTTAACTTGTTTTTTCCCAAGTGAATATCTTTTCATTTTTTATCATTTATCTTATCCATTTAATTTCATTCATCTAACGGTTCTAAATCTGTGTAAAAGTAAAAAAAAATTACAGTGTGTAATATGATCCCATCCTAAGAACATGAGAACTTAAAAAAAACAAAAGAAAATGCTTGAGTCAAACACATAGACCTATCAAAGCTCACAGCATAGGTCCAAATTGTGAACATTAGTTATACAAGTGCCCTTCCTTAAGTTCAAGTAGATGTACAAAGGAATGTTCGTTTGGTATTACAAATATGAGACATTAGAAGCCAAAATACAAAGAAATAACATTTCTAGGCTTCTACCAAAACAAAAACCTGAGCATTAATTGCTCGATTAAACCACCATTTGATCATAATATATATATATCAATAAAATAGTAAAAATGAAATGTGGGGGGTTCAGCTAGCCAAGTGACTGGGAGAATTGTTAAACATACTGTGCCACATATATGCCCTGGAAAGCACAATTTCAAGCTCTTGATATGTCCAGTTGTGAGTTGGAAGGTGTTGAAGGAACATCACCAATTCCTGGAAATCAAGCTTCTTAAGTGTGTCTGACCACTGAAATTGTACAATAAAATCGATCATCGGTTAGCTTCTGTACTTGATAAGATTATGAATAATCATAAAGGGGGCACAAATTTGTCGAGGCATCCGCTGTCGGGGAAAAGAATCAGTTGAAGTTTGCAAATTGCAGAAGCAAATGTCATCAGCAGAGTCCGTAAGGAGTCGAATGAAATAATCCAAACAATGCAGAGGAAAATAACAAAAAGAATGCAGTCATAACAATCCTGGAAAACAGGCTCTTATGTCTATGAATAAAGCCGTGTGAGATGCCGTCTTTCAGTCTCAATGTAATTGTTCCAACAGCTTCTTCACCTTCAGCCGTCATTATGTTTTGGACCAAAGAAATAGTTACTCATTTCCTTTCGGATAAGAAAAAAGCGTAAATTAAGAAGAAAAAGAAGACATCTTTTCATTTGAACAACTATTGCAGCTATATCGCTTAAAGATTCCAGAAATGCATGCAGGCTAAGATGAAGTGAATTATATTCGTAGAAAGGAAGTTAAAGCACAGCTCACCGTTAAAAGAAAACTGGCAAAAAAGTACACAAGAAAATCAGGAAGTGCATCGCCTTCAGCAAGATACGTATCCCATAGACGGGTTACTAGATCGAAAGGAATCTGTTAAACAAAAATAAAAGTATGACCAGTTTGTCAATTAACCGTAAAAAAATTGCAAAATGCAGGATAATTAGACAGTTTAAGTAATGGATTGGATGGTAGGATTAAACTTTACCTCACGTATCAGTAGACAGTTGAACCAACGAAAAGCAAATTGAAGAAACTCAAGTCCTTGGTTCTCCACATGTCTAGAAACAGGTTCTTGTACAAATTAACAAAACAAAGTGGTTAATATGAGAAAGAAATTAGAACGTATAAAAGGAAACATAATTTTAAGTTATGCTGTTTTAACTCTTCATTTTTCATAAAGTACCCATGTTTGATGCATAGGAGGACATGGATATGGGGATATGACTGAGTATTACCCTCCAAGGATCCTCTAAATACAAGGAAAAGCTTTAGAAGAAAAAATATAAGCTTTAAACATTCGCATGTCAAACACAGACACATATCTGCCATTCATACCCGAGTCCAAGTAACATAGATTTTTAGTAAATAAAAGAAGCACACGACATAAAGGCATGCACAAGAAAACGTCTATACTAAATAAAACCATTTCCCTTTCTCCGTATGAGTAAGAAAATGAGGGGGCCTGTACATACATAATACAACCTTTAGCTTTCCATATAAGAATCACTAAAATATCTGCACATAGATGAAGACTTAAATTTCCTACATGAAGCAAAAGGTGGTTGAATTCATGAACAAAAAAAATGCTAGAGAGAGAACTGACTGCCCCTAAAGAGATTACCATCAATTCGCCGAACCAATTCCTTCAGCTTGAATACAAGCCTCTGGATTCCTGGTTGAGCAAAGGTGTAATGGTCTTGCATCCCATCAAGAAACTGTGACAAGCACCAATAACAGTCGGCTTCTATGTTGGTGATATTCGCCGAAGATAAATCAGAGATTGACCAACTATCTATGCTCCCGTCTAAATACTCTGATAAGAAGACAACCAGAAAGGGTGTAACTATATCATTTATCCCCTGCACATATCCACTTGCAGGATGCCGAATGGCCCTATACATGAAGTTGAGGGAAAAAATCATTATTCCAAAACAACACATGGGATCTCACAGCATCTTAAATTGCAAACATTACATTTTATAAGAAGCCATCAATAAATATGGACTCACCAATGGAAATAATACATGTTGAGAAAAAAATCATTACTCCAAAACAACACATGGGATCTCACACATCTTAAATAGCAAACATTACATGTTATAAGAAGCCATCAATAAATTTGGACTCACCAATGGAAATAATACATGTTGAGAAAAAAATCATTACTCCAAAACGACACATGGGATCTCACACATCTTAAATTGCAAACATTACATGTTATAAGAAGCCATCAATAAATTTGGACTCATCAATGTAAATAATACCTTACCATGTATAAAGAATGCGCTCCAAGGACTTTTGAACTTGTGCTTGCTGAAAGAAGGCAACATCAGGTACAGTTCTAGGACAATCAACAGAAATCTAACGAACCGAATAAAGGCAATTGTTAATAATCAGACATAGAAGGCTGAAATTTGAATTCAGTATGGGTTAAAGGTACCTGACGAAGCATATTGATCTCATCATCTGAACGGTCAGTCTCTGGAATGTCATAAAATTGAGCAACACAATCAAGATATTCAATGCGTTTCCTCCTTAGAACTCCCTCCCTTCTATCTGAATTAGGTGGTGCATATCCCTGTTGTCATTTCATACTTTCATTTCAAACAAGCAACCAAAATTTAATAAAAATAACCATGTCCCTTAGATGACTCATTTGTTAAGCCTGAATATAAAATATTAGGCATATAGGCTTCTTTATGCATGCTCTAAACAGTGGCCAGATTGGTTTCATGTATGGGAATAGAAAGCCAAAAAAGTATATACAAAAAGTACAAAACCAACAACCTTAAGAGGCATTGCATATATTGGCCAAAAAGAAAGAAAAAAAAAGGAAGACGTTGTAGACTGGAATGACAAACTAAAACCAATAGCTCCTAAAAAGAAACATCTGACACTAAAAGTGGCCTACTACGTTCAGATAATGATGTGATCTTTTTCTTTCTTTCTTTATTTATTTTTGGTGGGGGGGGGGGCGTATAATAGCAGTAAGTCAATAGAATTGGTATGATTTCAACCATAATAGGCCAACATAAGAAATATCAGTCTTTGTAGAAAAGAAGATGAACAAATTGGTTCACATACAGTTCCAGTCCTCCTGATGCCTAAAATTGACAGTTTCATTAGATCATCAAGCTTACCAGAAGAAGTCTCCATACATCAGGGCGCATGTAAGGTGGAATACCACTCCAAGCTAGTTCACGTAATCTCTCTGCACAAGAAACTCATGATCAAGTCACACTATGATACTAATAATAAAAGGATTGTTAAACTAGAACTCAGAAAAGTAAGGGAACAGAAAAGACCACGTTATCTATCAAACTAAGAAAGTGACAATAAGTGTCAAATGAAAATAAATGTTCATACAAATTAACACGTACAAAAGTGCATATAAGATATCAAAAAACAGAAAGAGTATGGCCCATACATTAGAGTGCAGAATATTGATGTCAGGCCAAAGCGGTATTTTGTTTCTTTCTAACATGACAGGAAATGTAGGCATATCAACACCAAAGTAGTATTTTTTTTATCAAATATGATTGAAGATATGTGATTTCATATCTTGTAGGTAGTGGTGAGCGTTTGATCAAGTTGAGGAAAAAAATTCGAGTTATTAGAGTTAACGAGTCCAATTTTACAACTCAAAGTTGAAATTTTTTCGAGTCGAGTTTATAAAATTTGAATCAAGTTGAATTTTTGCTTAACTTTAATTGTAAATATTTATAATATTATGATATTATTTGATTGTAAACTCATCCTGAAGTAACAAAATAGACATAATACCTATTATGACCATTTCCCGTGAGAGCTCTTTCGTGAACTTCAAAACCCTTGCAGAATCTGTAGATCTTGAACCCATTGCAGACTTGACTTCTCTAGCAGCATGCTCGATGTTTGAGGTTGAGGCTCTTAACTTATTAACAGTTATATCAATACCTGTATTTCTGACACCTTCCTATATGAAAAGAAAGTTGGTTGGTTAACAATATTTCTGACTTTTAAAGAATTAAAACCCACACTACTGATACAATAATTAATTTTGGTACTGTAGTAATACAATAACTATTGTACACAATACATAGTCACTCTCAACATCACCTCCAAGTATTTGTCCACGTCATTACTTCTGCCAGCATCATTCTGAGAATAACTTCTTTGATATTGTTTCTGTATGCCTGATTTGTCCGATGATTCCAACCTTCTGGTCAATAATACTTTGCCAGGAATGTTGCGACCCTTAAGTAACCTTATTAAAAGGCATAAAAGAAAATTATTTGCACTCAACTCAATAATTGTGAGAGACATAAGTCCATGAAGCAAAGAAATATTGGGTGAACATTCCATGGACACGAAAGTGGACTAGTTACGCAATTTATTATTACATACTCTTAGATAAAGGTATGGTTCGAAATTGACAAAAACGGTAAACAGGGGTAGTTGCATTTCTATTAAAAATAAAAAGTAGAAAACACCAGGAGTTTGCTAACACTCATAAAAGCCACATGGAGGAGCTAATAGAGGTGACATAATAAGAAAAGCCAACCTTACCGAAGAGGAAGCCTTTTTCGCCAATCCTCTTTAAAGTTTAAACTCAGACAGAGTTCATTAAGCAAAACAACATTGCAGCCCATGTTATCATTGATCTCTTTCCAATTTGTACTCAGAAATCCAAGCTCACTAGTCAGCACATCAAAACACATAGAACATCCTTTAGGAACTTCCCAATTCCCAGGTGCATAACGGCCTTTACCAGAAAACCCAGGCTAAATGAAATGGAATAACCTCTTTTTATTCCTAGTAATTCCTATGTTTCTCTAACCACAATGCCATAATCAAATAACAGCATACACCAAAATAAAGGCATGCAGAGGGAAAAATATTTCAAACACAGAGAATCATCTTCAATGATAAATAGAAACCGGGATCACGCAACCAAGCAGAAATTGAGGGATCTGAATTAAATCACCGAAAGGGTCCTTAAATCTGAGTGCAAACTTCAACAATTTATACCCAATAAAAAGAAATGAAAAGGTATGGGAAATAAAAATTTCTCCACGAAAAGGAAAATCCTTCCACATGACAAGATAACTGGAATTGAAATTCGAAAGATCCGAACACATTTCTCAAAAGTGTATCTAAATCCAATTGCAGAAAAACACAAGTAGGAGAATCCAGATTCGAAACATTGAGGAACAGGAGAAAAAACAGAAAACATAGGAAGAAAGGAATAGGAATATAGTTAAAAAGGAGGTACCCTTGGACATTTCTGAGGGTTTGGCTGAATCTGGAATCAAGTCTTTCTTTCTTAGGCTGATCTGCTTCTCCTTTGATGTTGGCTTTCATGGTTTTGTTTCGATGACCAGAGCATGCTCTGTTTCTTTTCTTTCCTTTGTTTGTGGCTCTATTTTTTCACTTTTACTACAAATTCTTCTTGTTTGATGCTCCTTTTTCTTCTTTGAATCTCATGTTTTTCCTACGGGGAAGAAGCTTAAGAAAACATGAAGAACTAACATTGCCTAACAACAAAATGATTTATATATTACATTACACTTATTTACACTATATTTTATAATTGAAAAATCGGATTAGAAATCACATAAGTTTTATCTAGATCAACGTGATATTTTTAAAAAGAAAAATAATGATGATTTGATATTGTTTTTTTTTACCAATATCAACATTAATTTTTGTAGGTAAAGTATATAAATAGTCTAACGATTATAGATTAATTTTTATTAAGTCTATCAACTATTAAAAGTTATAAAATGATCATTCGACTATATAGTATTATTTTGTTAAGTCATTCAATTATTAAAAGTTATAAAATGATCATTTAAGTATTCATTTTGTTCTAAACTCGTCAATTTTTTGTTAAAAAAATCAGTTATTGTCTAATTTGGACGTTAACATGATGTCTGGGATATGATAGTCGTTTGAGATTTTGAGATCAGATTTTCTCATATCACAGTCAACATGTTAATGTCTAACTTAGAATACTGTTAATTTTTTTAACGAAAAGGACGAGTTTGGAACATAATGAATAGTTAGATGACATTTATAATTTATAATAGTCGAGGGACTCGACAAAATAATATTGTATAATCGGATGACTATTTTATAACTTTTAATAGTCGAATACTTTATATTCATAGGACTATTTATGTACTTTATCCTAATTTTTAATGGTGGATGACCAAAATGAAATAAAATAATAATTGAAGTGATAACCATGTAGTTTACCCTTTGTTTATATGTAATTGGAGTTAAATTTCAATATATTTGTGAAATGAAGAAAAATAGAAGGAAAAAGAGAGAGAATAGTACATATATTAAAATTCGATTTCATGTAATTTAATGTTACCTTTTAAAAATAACTATCCAAGTTATAACAGGGTTGATTCAAGTGATAAATAACTTAATATCGCTTAAACAAAGTCTTGAGTTTAGGTCTTTGTATATACAGAAAATCCTTACATGGAGTTCACCCACCAAATTCAAGTGTCCGACGCGGATGAATCTTAATTAGTCAAGGCAAAACCTTGAAACCGGACAATCAAAAAATAATAACTATCCAAGTTCAAATAAAAATAAAATGCCCTTTGCTACACCTCCTAAGAATTTCTATTGTCCACAAACCTATATAACAAGATGTATTATAAATTTATTCAATAATCCATGCTCACTTCTTTTAAGCCTTTGTCTCACTTCCAAGCAATCATTACCATTCAAGAATCAAGATTCAAGAACAGCATCGTTGAGCCGAGCAACCATTTATTTAGGAACACCATGGGAAGCGAATCGAGTAAAACATTGAAGCCTTCTTTTTGGATCGAGCTCGAGGAACCACTATGAGATTGCATCCCTCGCAATCGACATATTAGTGTTTAGCTTCCACCCAAAAAGCAGTTGCTGCCACCAGAACTGCCCATAGCACAAGGCACATCGCGAACTTGAAACTTCACGTTGCGCGTTCCGACGTATTCCATGACTTCCAGATACTCCTGTAAATCTGAGTCACTAACCAACATTACCCATTCTTCTTCGTCATCTAAATACTTGAGTTGGAATGTCCCGGTTTGTAGTTTGAACCTCCTCGCAACTTCTTCGTATAGTTCGAAGCACCCAGCAGATGGCTCAAACTTAAAACGGACTGTATCATCTTTGTATGTAGCTTTCACAGTAATTTTTGAGCTGCTTTCAACGCAGATTTTCACTTTAGAATTCTTAGCCTTCTCGAAACTTTCAGAGCTTGATGTGCTTCCATGTGACATTGAACCAGATCCATTCGATGAGTCTGTCATACTTGAAGAAGCTGGTTGGTGGTTTTCTTCAGCATTTCCAATATCTATTTCAGCGGCAGCAGCCAAGGAGCTCGAACCCCGAAACATGAAGTGGGAGTTTGAGTCTTCTACCTTCAGATTCTCCTTGTTCAGACCACTGATATGCCCTTTTCGTAAATAAGAACCAATGGTTCCATTTTCCGTGTCTAGAGAAACTGACTTAGAGTCATCACTACAATCAATAAGAGGGACGCTAGATTTTTTTACTTCACCACGGGTATTTGGAACAAGCACACCCCTTGCAGACTTGCCGTTGTTACCACCAAAATAACACTGGTTTTCCTCCAACTTAACCACTGAATTTTCTTCATCTGGGCAAGATTCTAGCGACGCTGATGATTTCTCTTGACTACAGGTTCAAGAATTTGGACGGGAAGGTTCTTATTGGAGAGTACTAGTGTTTTCCTGCTGCAATAAACTCTCCGGTCGATTGATCAAACTTCAATCCTCCTTCCACCCCTTGCACAGAGTCGATAACAGTTTGTATTTTTTTAATGATCTATTCACCTTGTTAATCTTGCGAGACGGCCATCTTGAGATCCCAAGTTGTCTACATATCCTTTTCAGTGTAGTGGGGCAAACTACAAGGAGCAGGAAATCAAAGGTCAATCATACATCAAAATATATAGCATGAACCAGGTTCACTCTACTGCTTGAAAATGATATTCCAAAACTTGCATATGTTCATTATACCCGTTTTCACAAGTATTTTCTAAAGCATATAGACTAAACGATAAAAACAATTTCTAGTTTCAAAGATTCTTCATAAAAAAATCATAAGATTACTAATAACGCTGGTTCTGATCGGGAGGATTTTGAGTGGGGCAAAGGCAGCGGTGATAAATTGGTATACGGAGCAATGCTTTGACTTTCAGTCGGGGATCGGAATTTTGGAACTTAAAATCACGAATTTGGAATTGGATTTTATAAACTTGCATATTTAAATTTTTTCTCCAAAAGATAAGCAAAATCTTATAAAGTCAACGAACACAAAAATTTCTACAGAAACTTGATCAGAACCGGCGTTATAGTAATCTTATGATGCACTTAAACAAGCAACTTCAAGGCTTACCACCAAGGCTTTTTGCAGCATCCTTCAGACTCCCTGAGAAATACTGTTGAAGAACACTCGAGCTAACATTCTTTTCTGCTGCAGTTCTCTTCTTCTCTATCTGCCTTCGTGGTCCGCTCATTGCCTACAAATATGCACGGAGATATTACTTAACCACATAAGGTTGCCCACAACGGCGGGTGCAAACATGGAACAACACAACTGAATAAAGAAAATAAGTTCAGTATATTCCAACACAAAAACTCATACATATCAATCATGTTAAACGATTAAAACAGGAAACACAAGTGCATATTGATTATTTCAAGAGAGCTTGAATACTTGCTAAGCTCAAAGCAAGCAAGTATGACAGGGCAAGCTCACGAGACATGTTAATACTTAATAGTACTTGCTTAAAATACTGCTGATTCTTCGATTTCAATTAGACAACCACTCTTTATTACTAGTAAACATAAGTATATTATTACAGGAAAAAGATAGTATCTTATTCAACTCAACACATACATAGTATCTTATCTAACTCAACAGTTATCAGAAAACAGATATCAGATCATGAATTCCTTTGTCTGGATGCATCGTTCAAATCAAATTTCCAGACTTCTTTCGTTTACATACAATAAATGAAGGATCCCTTTCATGTGTTTCACAAGTCAAGTACTCAAGTCATCCATCAAAAGGGAAAGAACATTCAACACGGTACCTGTTCACGAGGACCATCAGCTTCCTTTCCATCACTTCTTGAATTCGATACATTGGGAACTGTATCACTAGATTTCATGTCACTATCAGCAGATAATTCCATTTCCGAGCCCCTCCTAGATATAGACAATGAGGGGAAGTTTGATATTGCTTCCCTCTGAACCTCAATTTTTGACCCTTGTCCAATAATTTCTGCATCCGAAACTGTTCTCAAACTCCTACATATTCGTTGCATAGTACCTGAGAGGTTATTCAACAGGAGTTGCTGTTCTGAACTTCCTTTCAATTTAATAGGAAGAAAAAGCTCCAATATATAATCATCATCACCAGTGTAGGTGCTGCTCAACCTGATAGCAACGGCAGCGTTCAGGTTACACTTGCGTGCGTGATGAACAAGCGGATAATCACTAATGTCATATGTCTTCACATCAGTAGAGAAGAATGGATGCTTAGACCGAAGCACTTTTCCAGCTATACCTTTTCCTTCTTCAAGGTAATGTTCCATACAAGCTCGCACAAAATGCTATGTCTCCCTTTCATTAACATAACAGGCTGTAGTTTCAACACGTAAGACACTTCCCTTCCTGACGTTTGCTACTCTCTCCACCACGTACTTTTAAAATTTCGTCCACAGCTTCCTCAGCGTAATTACAAGGAATCCATGTTAGAGCCAATGGCAAACTATGTGCATGACATACAGCACGTAAAACATCAGTTATTTAAGCTAATGCAGATTGCTGGTTCCTCGAGAGGCACTGAAGACAAAATTGGAAGGAGAGGCCTTAGAGAAAATGTACAGTACCACACTTCTTATTCAGTTAACCAATAAGAAAAACACCCAATATTGTTTATACTTACAGATACACACACACACACACAATTCAACATAAAAATGCCTTTTCTATAACAGCTGAAGTTAAATGCATTCGAAGTTCTAATGTACCTGTGGAAGAGGTCGTGGAGGAGTGGCGGTCCTTAAATTCACAGCCTGCACATGATAGGGTTCAAGATAAATTCCATGATATCATATATAACTAATACGGTTCAGTACCTTAAAATCCATACATGATTTACTTTAAAGGAATTGCTCTATAGTGTATGTCTGTGCGGGTGCGGTAAGGTTATTTTTCTCTAAAATTGATAATCTAAGATTAGGTAAATAACATATACCACCAGTACCTTCCCACATTCAACAATAGCATGGCACCTAAAGGTTGAATATCAGATGTTAGTTATAATTTTATCATACATTTTTAACATTTTCTAAACTAAATTCTAGCATTAATAACGCAAACTCCGCTTCATCCGAGAGAATTAAAGAAGTTTTCTGTCATTAACTACAGTTTCTATGGATCAAAGCTCCAGGGTTTCCATTTACAAACATGATGAAAATGCAAGAATTTCTAGCAGAAAATGCATTATTGTTCAGCAGTACAAACTTATAAATAATATGCGAAGACAATAATATTTTGCTGCAAAAAACTGAAAATTTGGGTTAGCAAGAGATGTAGAATGGAAGAAAAACTCTGGCAAGTTATTAGTCAGTAATATTTTACCTCCTTATTACTCTTCTTCATGTCATCCATTAAAATGGAGTTTAAGTTTAAATGAGTTATAGAAAGCCAAATGAGAAATAAGGATATGTTTGGGGAGTTACAGAAAACAGAAAAACAGTCTTTCAAACCTATGTTTCACAGACTCGGGTGTTACTGTCGAGTACAGATATGTGTCTGACACGAGTATGTTCAGGTTTCTCTTAGTTTCTCCATATATCTAAAGGGTCTTAGGAAAGTCATATCCTTGTGCCCCTGTCCGACACGAATATGTATAACACAGTTTCACAATAAAAAGGAAGAGTTAATGAAGGTTCAGACCCATAAATGCAAAATCTTTCAATTGCAGAAACATAAATATTAGTTACTAACCTGGAGTGCAAGGGAGACACTTTTCATTTCTGAATCAAAATTGGGTTTCTCTTTCATGGTGACAAGTTCCAGCACAGCACAACAAGACATCTCAGGAGGTTCAAAAATTGGCAAGGCAATGGAACCACGGATTTTGTAATTGACTGCATCTGTAACCCGCAAGTACTCGCCCTTACTGTAATGGATTACATTAGAAGTCCATTCAGGAACTCTAGAGATAAAAACACGACCAGGAAGACCGGGGGAAGAACCCGGTTTCAGTTCTGCAGAGAAGATATATGTCCTTGAAACTTCACGATAACCCAAAAGCATCTGGTCTAGCAAATAAGGCTGTTCAGAAGTGCTCAGCATATAGTGATCTCCATGCTTGATTGGAACCCAAACTTGTGCCAAAATGCCCCCTCCAGATGACTCCTTAAGAAAGGAAAATGCTTTAAGCATCTTCTCATCAAGTGAGGGTCTAGTTGGAAAAAGAACCAATGTATTAGACAAATCCGGATAACCCAATTCTGCTTCAGATGGAACCAATGAATTACTGATGTGTGTATCTCTTTCCTGGAACACCATGTTGTCCCCACAACTATAAGAATCTGATGCGGAAGACGGCTATCGAATAGAACAAAAACACAACTGATAATTTGAAAAAATAAAAATGAAAATAAAAGAGACACAAAATTTACGTGGAAAACCCTTAAATAATATAGGGTAAAAACTACAGGCAACGGTAGAAGAATTTCACTATGAAAAAATATGAATTACAACTTCTCTCGATCTACTAAAGAGAAAACAATGATAATTCTCTCTTGATAAAAAAGAGAAAATAACTCTCAATAAATTCTCTAAATTCTCTAATATTGAAAAAAAACTAGAATGTTTTGGGATGATTTTGAAGTTAAATGAACTAGAGTATTTATAGTTGAAGTTTAAAGATTAATTTGTAAATATCCTAAATTATAATAACTAAAAATAAAATTTTACCGCTGTACAATTTTTTAATAATTTCAAGCCAACTTCCGGTGACTTGACAAATTTAATATTTCATCAAACTTTCCATCAAAAATTTGATGGCCACTTAGTGTTTAATTTTCAACATCCGTGCCATTCAACGCATCAAAGTTTCACAAAGATGTCATAATTTTGTCCCGCGATGGGTAGCGAATCGAAAGAGGTATACGACAAGGACGGATACGAGGACAAACTGAAGGAAGCAAACACCCGATCTGTTGCTGAAGGATATTAAACCAACCAGCATATGAATCAAAGTTCATAAGGTCTGAAAAGTTAAAAGGGTCCTCTAAAAGTGAATTCCTGATCCTGCCAGTGCCACCCAAACCCTCCATCTGAGCTCTGGGAGGAACCCAACTACTATTTCCCGTTCTTTTAGATGAAAAGGGGTCCATTTTGCTCACAAAACAAACTAAACAACCCCACTTTCACCTGAAATCATAAAATGGTAGTTCTATGAAAAAACCTTCCACTAATTTCGGCTAGGTTGATTGACAAGAAAGACAGTCAGTTTGAAGTTGAAGCGGTGAGGTTCCCTCTAAAGAAGTCGTATTACATCTTTTGATGAACTCCTACATGGTTTGTAGTCCATTGATTTGGCAGATAATAAATATGAAAGGTCTCTTTAAATATGTGAAAACTCCATCTTATATAATTGTTGGAAATTTCGACGAATCCAACACGTGTTAGTATCTTAACCATTTAATATTATAAATATCTAGATTCTTCTAATAAATAAATTTATATATAATATTAAATATTATAAACATCTAGAATTTTATAGGGACATTTTTACACATCTCTAATTTTTATATTAATCTAGAGTATTCTTAATATATATATATAAACTAAAATAACTAAAATAACTCTAGAATTTACATTGTACCTTAACAATAATTTTGGCAGGTTACTTATATATAAATAAAGAGTCATAACAATTTATCTGGTATAATTTTCTATTACCATATTCATGGGAAAAAAACCAATTTACATGTGCTGCGAAAGTTAATCAATAGTTCTCTAAATGATTCGTGGTATTTTGAGTATAACCATGGCATGCCGATGCCGGCCTCTGCTGCCCCCGGCAAAGCGGGATCCTTAAAGGGCATCTCAGGCAATTATTCGCCAGACTACCTCTAATCCTCGCGACGGCGCTGCCGAACTCTACCGAAACGCGACCCAATAAGTAGTTATGATCTAAAAACAGGGTTCTCCATGGCCTCCCCAATCTTTGTGCATACCCTATGGGGATTTCACCTGTAAACTGATTGTGTGACAGATTAATCACTACTAATCTCTCGAAGTTCACCAACTTAACCGGTAAATGACCTTGCAGGAGATTCCATTGCGCGTCGAGCGTTCGAAGCCTGGACCCGCTTCCGAAGTAGTTGTTCACCTCCATTTTTTTGAACTTGTTGAAGGAGACATTGAGGTATGTCAACCGAGGTAATGCAAGAACTCCCCGGTTAACAGGTCCTGAAAACCAGTTATCACTCAAATCTATGTATAATAGATGCTCGAGGTCAACTAATGATGTGATATGGCCTGTCAGTTTGTTGTGTGACAATCTTAAAGTTGTTAGCCCTGAAGGAAGCTTTGGCAAGCTTCCGATCAATATGTTCGAGTCGAGCTCGAGTGTCTGCAGGTTTTCCAATGCATAAAGGCTGGGAATTCTTTGTGAAAACTCGTTGTTCGATAGGCTTAAGTGAGTCAATCTTCTTAGCTTGGAAATCCGAGCAGGGATCCGACCGGAGAGTTGGTTTCCAGACAGGTTTATCCTTTCAAGCTTCTTCAACCTGTATATCCATGTCCAGATACCGCCGGTAAAAAAGTTACCGGAAAGAGAGATTCTGGTTAGTTTGTTGAGGTTCTTTATGGTCTCCGGCACCGGCCCTCTGAACTTGTTACCGCTGAGGTCGAGTGTGGTGAGTGCGGTAAGTGTTCCTATTCTGGGTGGTAAAAATCCCTCATATCCAACGCTATCAAGCTCGAGCGCTGTTATTCGGCTCGTTGAGTTGCCTTGAGGGAAAGAGCATAAAATTCCCAGGAATTTCGAACCGGAAGTCTCGCATGGATCGGCCGAGAAATCCCAAGTCGTGAGGTACGACGACGGCGGGATCATGTTCGGATCGACGGAGAGTTTAAGGGATTGAAGAGCTTCGATGTCCGATTGTAACGTTAACGAATGAGAAAACGTAAGAAGGAAAGAGAGAATTGCAGCAAAGAAGATGACACATGAAGAAGAAGAACAATCAAAGGAATGCATGTTTATGGACAAGATGATCATCTAAAGCATCAGCGAAAGGAAATAACTTATAAATAGTTCTTCCAATAGGGTCTGTAAATGCAGTTTTTACTTGGAAAATGTATGGTTTTAATGATCATGCCAATTTAAAGTTAGGTTGAAAGCTTGTGAAGTGCTTTTATATTTTGGCAAAAAGTTCCAATCTTTGGCATTTCAACCTACTTTGTATAAAGAATGAGTCTAGATTTTTAGGGTAAATTACATGTTTAATACATAAACTATCAGTTTTGATCCGTTTTAGTACATAAACTTTCAATTTTTTTCTTTCAAAATCACTCCTAAAGTTTAGTTTTTGTTTCATCTTAGTAACCCGACGTTGAAAACTTCGGTTTTTGTTTCTTTTTAGTACCTTGTTAATATTAAAATATTAAAATGGACCAAATTTGATAATTAAGTACTAAACGCATTAAGCTTTTAACGGCGAGATACTAAAATAAAATAAAAACAAAATATTAAGTATGATTTTGAAAAGAATAAAAGTTTAAATATTAAAATAAACTAAACTGATAGTTTAAATACTAAATATTTAATTTACCCTAGATTTTAAAAGATCCAAAGGGATAAGAGATGTCTCCTTTCAAAATGGAACGATACCTTGTAAGGTTACTATTCATGTGTCAGTGGAATATAATTATTGTACAACTCCTTAAGTATATAACCGCTAGATGATTCAGTAACATGGTGAGCATACACATTAATTATTGAAAAAAATAAAATTTTTAAGTGAACATTAATAGTAAAATGAGCCACGAATATAAAATAATTTGAATTTATACGTACTCACTCTAACCATGTTTTGTATCCTCCTGTGAGTATAAGTACATGTTACATCAACGTACGATGTTATGTAGATTTATTACATCATTTTAAGATGTTGTTTGTGAGTTAACTATTTTCATCTATTTAGGGTTAAATTTTAGACTAAATAAAATGTTAAGTATTAATTGTGCTTAAAAAATATTAGTATAATTAATTTTTTTAAAAAGAATTGGAGGATTTTTAACCTTCAGCCTTGCTAATAATTAGAAAAATATGCATAATTATGCTTCTACCGAAAAAGAAGTCTTAGTAAATATGAAATATATCTCTATTAGTATTACTTTTTAGGATTACATTTAAGTTCTTAAGTATTATGGTATACCATGCAACCAATAAATCCTCCATAAAAATCACAACATTGTTCTCATGAAATCCAAAAAAAAAAAAGTTGCCCACAGGTCTGGTTCTGCAATGTATTCGGCATCTTAATTCGTTTCGCTGGTCAAGAAGAAGCTTTGGATCTGCAAGCAGGAGCGATGTTCCTACGATTGGCTGCCGGAAACCAATGCCTAGGAGGTCGATGTCGATTCCGTTCTAGCTCGAAGTGGTTACGTATTGGTATACGAAGAGGCAAAGAGGTTCGAAGTACCTATCAAGTATCTGTCTTGTGCTGCATTTCAATAACTGCTCGTCCGATCGCAAGGCGACGACGGCCTCGACGCCAGGATCGATTGGCCGATTAGGATCGCTTTCAGTTCCGAGAGGTTTAAACTGTTAGGAAAATAAACCGAGTACAAGTAATTTCCCTATAACCAGATTAGTGAGAATGCAAAATAAAAGCGGAAAAATAATACCCGAAAATTGATAACGGAGTTCAGCCAATTGTGCTTACGTCTCCGGGCTGCTGCAGATCTTTTACTAAGAGAGAAAATTTACAGGTGTTTACAAAACACTCACTACTCACAAGAAAGCTCTCTAGTATAGGAAGAAAGAAATGTTTTGGGATGATTTTGAAGCTAAATGGGTAAGGGTATTTATAGTAGAAACTTAGGGACTAATCTTTGAAAATACCCTAAAGTGCAATGACTAAAGTGAATTTACCCATTCCTATTTTCAACAAACATCTACCAAAATTTTACCAAACTTTGAAAAACATTTTTCAAAGAAACATTTACCAAACTTTGAAAAAAACATTTTCCAAAGTTGGTTGCCAAACTTTGAAACTTTTAACAATCTCCCACTTGAAGACTGATTTTAATATGTCTTCACACCTCGATCAATGCAGCAGCATGTCTGGTCTTGTTATTCTAGCATGCCAACTGAAGTTGAACACAACTTCAGTTTGTCCGTAGTCACCGTCTTTGTCAACATGTCTGCCGGATTTTGAGCTCCACTAATCTTTTCAAGTTTCAAAATCCCATCTTCCAGAAGAGACCGGATAAAATGATATCTCAATTGTATGTGCTTTGTCCTGGAATGAAAAGACGGATTCTTTGCTAGATGGATAGCACTTTGACTGTCGCAATACAAGATATTGTTTTCTTGTTTCTTGCCTAACTCTTCCAAGAAACTTTGGAGCCAAACCATCTCCTTGCTGGCTTCCGTAACAGCGACATATTCTGCTTCAGTTGTGGAGAGAGCAACTATCTTCTGTAGTTGAGAAACCCAACTCACTGCAGTGCCTCCTAGAGTATAGACATACCCTGTAGTGCTCCTTCTGATGTCGACATTTCCGGCTAAGTCAGCATCTACATAGCCTGTCAGTATCATATCTCCACCTTTGAAACAAAGTGCTTTGTTTGTGGTACCCCGATATCTGAGGATCCATTTGACTGCTTCCCAGTGTACCTTGCCCGGATTATTCATGTACCTGCTAACAGCCCACTGCATGAGCAATATCTGGTCTGGTACAAACCATGGCATACATCAGACTTCCAATTGCTGAGGCATACGGCACCTTCACCATGTGTGCACGTTCTTCCTCCGTCTTTGGTGATTGGTCTTTGGAGAGTCTGAAATGAACACCTAAAGGTGTACTTACTGGTTTAGCTTGCATGTTGAACCTGGAGAGTACTTTGTTGATGTACTCCTGTGATAACATCAAAGTCCCCGACTTTGTGTCTCTCTTGATCCTCATCCCAAGAATCTGCTTTGCAGCGCCCAGATCCTTCATAGCAAACTGCTTCGACAATTTTTGCTTCAAGTGTATAATCTCTTGCATGTCTGAGCCTGCAACGAGCATGTCATCAACGTACAATAATAAAATAATGAAGCTGTTGTCGAACCTCTTGATGTAGCAACAATGATCTGCTTGGCATCTGATAAAACCACTGCTACTCATGAAGCTATCGAACTTCTTGTACCACTGTCTAGGAGCTTGTTTTAAACCATAAAAGCTCTTCTTCAACCTGCATACCAGGTTTTTCTTGTCTGCCTCTATGAAGCCTTCTGGCTGCCTCATGTAGATTTCTTCCTCCAAATCACCATGAAGGAAAGCTGTCTTTACATCTAACTCTAAGATGTAAATTCTCTGCAGCTACAATTTTCAACATCAGTCTGATTGTAGACAATTTTACGACTGGAGAAAATTTCATTGTAGTCATACCTTCTTTTTGCTGAAAGCCTTTGACAACCAATCTTGCTTTGTAGCGTTTGCTCCCATCGTGCTCTTCTTTGATCCTGTAAATCCTTGTTGTGGAGCGCTTTCTTGCCTGGTGGTAATTCAGCTAATTCCCATGTTTGATTTGACATAAGCGAGTCCATCTCATCTTTCATGGAAGACTCCCACTTGACTGAATCCTCCACTTGCATTGCTTCATCATAGCACTCTGGTTCACCATTGTCAGTCAGTAACAAGTAGTGTAAAGAAGGAGAATACCGTTGGGTTGGTTTAGGAATTCTGGAGGAGCGTCTCAGTTCTGGTGCCTGGTTCTTCTTGAACTGCTTCAGGATTGATCTGAACATCATTTCCAGAAATCTCCTCGAACTCAGCAAATTCCTTTGTTTCAGCTTCGGTATTACTTGATTCTGCGGTTGATCTATCTTTGTACATCACATTTCATTGAAAATGACGTCTCTGCTTCTGATGATCTTCCGATTTTCATAGTCCCAAAACCGGTAACCGAACTCATCACCGCCATAACCAACAAAGGCACATTTGTTGGACTTAGCATCAAGCTTACTTCTTTCAGCAGAGTCTATGTGTACATAAGAAATACAACCAAACACTCTTAAGTGTGAAAGGTTTATTTCTTTCTTGCTCCAAACTTCCTCTGGTTCTGCCATCCAAAGGAACTGAGGGCCCACGGTTGATCAAGTAAGCTGCAGTGTTGATTGCTTCAGCCCATAGAAATTTGGGCAAGCCGGCATGTATCCTCATACTTCTGGCACGTTCATTCAGAGTTCTGTTCATGCGCTCTGCACCATTATGTTGCGGTGTCTTGGGAACTGTTGTCTCCATCTTGATCCCATTGTTTGCACAGAAATCTCTGAATCTACTGTCTCTGTACTCTCCTCCATTGTCAGACCTCAACCGCTTGACTTTCAAACCAGTCTCATTTTCCACCATGGCCTTCCATTTTCTGAAGATATCGAAGACTTCTGATTTCTTCTTCAGAAAATAAACCCACACCTTCCTTGTTGAATCATCGATGAAGGTGACATAATATAGTGAGCCTGCAAGAGATGGAACTGGGGATGGTCCCCATACATCAGTATGAACCAATTCTAACCTTTCTGCCTTGGGTGTCTTGCCAATCTTTGCAAAACTGACTTTCTTTTGTTTGCCAAAGATGCAATCCTCACATAGTCCGACATCTACATTTTTTAGATCCGGCAGCTTCCCTTTTGACAAAAGTGTTTTCATCCCTTTCTCGCTCATATGGCCAAGCCTTTGGTGCCATAGGTTTGATTTTCCATCAGCATCTGCTACTGCAATGATATTCTCTAAATTTGAGGTTACATAGAGAGTACCAGTCTTCTTACCACGAGCAATGACGAGTGCTCCTTTGGTAATCTTCCATTCACAGCCTGAAAAGGTTGTGCTATATCCTTCTCCATCAAGCTGTCCAACAGAAATCAGATTTCTTTTGAGGCCAGGAATATGTCTCACTCCTGTCAGCTTCCAGGTGGTCTGGTTTGGCAACTTTAGTCGGATGTCTCCTTTTCCGACGATCTTTAAGGTTTCATCATCAGCAAGATGAACCTTCCCAAAATCACCACTGACATAGTTCTCCATGATTTCTTGGCATGGGGTGGAGTGGAAAGATGCCCCTGAATCCAAGATCCATGATTCAATCGGACTGTTGACGCTTAGAATCATGGCATCACCTGTCTCCTCTGTCACGTTGGCAGATTCCTGTGCACCGGTATCTTTCTTCAGTGCTCGGCAATCTCTTTTAAAGTGACCTTTCTTGCCACAATTATAACAGGTAAAATCTTTCTTTCCCGTTCTAGATTTTTCCCGTCTGGATTTTGATCTGCCACGATTTGAATATCTTTCTGAAGTTCTTCCTCTAGACTCCGTGTGCAAGGCTGAGGAGGTTGATGCTTCACCCGATTCTCTTCGTCGAATTTCTTCACTCAATACCAGATCCCGAACATCGTTGAATTTTAATTTGCTGTTTCCCGACGAACTGCTGACTGCTGTAACAGTAGCATTCCAACTGTCTGGTAGAGATGATAAGAGAATTAAAGCTCGAACTTCATCATCGAACTCAATTTCCACTGAACTCAACTGGGTTGTGATTGTGTTGAGTTCATTTAGGTGTTGTGCCACCGATGCCCCTTCCGCCATCCGCAAATTGAATAATCGCCTCATCAAATGAACTTTGTTTGAGGCCGATGGCTTCTCATACATACTGGAGAGAGCCGCCATAAGACCCGCCGTGGTCTTTTCCTTTGCTATGTTGAAAGCAACATTGCGGGATAACGTCAGTCGGATAACTCCGAGGGCTTGTCGGTCGAGAAGCCCAGTCTTCATTCTTCATGCCCTCTGGTTGCTTTCCTGAGAGAGGTTGATAAAGATTTTTCTGGTACAGAAAATCTTCAATCTGCATCTTCCAAAAGCCAAAGTCCGCACCATCGAACTTTTCAATTTTCACCTTCCCTTCGTCTGCAGCCATCGCTTCCACTCGAATCTGGCTTTTTGGATCGTTTCTGACAATTCTTGCGAACCACCGTGTATTAGAACACCACTGTCGACAAACTCGTATCGCCGACCGAAATTTCACTATTCACGAAATTCACTATTCACGTGAATAGTGAATAGTAACCTCGCAGAAAATTGACAAATTCACAACCAAAAGCTCTGATACCAGTTGTTAGGAAAATAAACCGAGTACAAGTAATTTCCCTATAACCAGATTAGTGAGAATGCAAAATAAAAGCGGAAAAATAATACCCGAAAATTGATAACGGAGTTCAGCCAATTGTGCTTACGTCTCCGGGCTGCTGCAGATCTTTTACTAAGAGAGAAAATTTACAGGTGTTTACAAAACACTCACTACTCACAAGAAAGCTCTCTAGTATAGGAAGAAAGAAATGTTTTGGGATGATTTTGAAGCTAAATGGGTAAGGGTATTTATAGTAGAAACTTAGGGACTAATCTTTGAAAATACCCTAAAGTGCAATGACTAAAGTGAATTTACCCATTCCTATTTTCAACAAACATCTACCAAAATTTTACCAAACTTTGAAAAACATTTTTCAAAGAAACATTTACCAAACTTTGAAAAAAAACATTTTCCAAAGTTGGTTGCCAAACTTTGAAACTTTTAACATAAACAAGTGTTGAAAGATGCCAAGAAGTGACTAAAGTGTTGAATCAAACAACTTCACATTCTCTTCAGCTAATTAGATCAAGCAAATATTGTTTGTTTAATATATATATATAATATCATATAAACATTATAATTATTGATGAGAAAACACACAACACGTACGTGACATTACACGATTATTAGGCAAACACCAGTCAAAACACAGTACATAAAAGGAAGAAGAAAAAGGAAACCCGAAACCGAAAATTCAGTACAACAATCACATGAAGTAGAGGCTTATCATATGCATATATATGGCTCTAACAATTTGCAGGGTGAGGAAGCTTGCACAGGCTAGGCAATTTCATGGCAAGGTTTGGGTCAATGCCAAGGGTAGGCAAGAGCTTCGAGTTCTTATACGAGCAAAGGCAACGCATATCGGCGTGCGAAAGGGCCAAGCAACACGTCGACGTGGGCGGCGGAGGTTTCGGAGGAGTCACTGCCGGCTTGCATGCCATCAAACCCGAAGTGGGCATGTTGCATATGGTTTGAGCATCAGCAATGGCCATGACCATGACCAATGCTACTACTATAAATGCCATGCCCTTCATTTTCTCTGGTGTTTTTTCCTTTTTGATGATTTGGACCGATGAGAATGGGGATGTTTGGTGCTATCCAAAGAGTGAATTTATAGGGGATGAATGGTGTAGTCCGTGAACCTTTTGATTTTGTGGGGTTTTGAGACTAATTATTGTTTCTACAAAACTGTAGTCTCATGAGATGTGAACTCGTGGCAGAGAGAATTTTAGACGCGTTAATCATTACTCCTAAGTAGGGACGGTAATTTAACCTAAAACCGACATGTTCCGATTCAATTTGATTAAATAGGGTTGGATTTAAAAAAAAATAGATTCATGTTGGGTCGGGTCGATCTTTTAAGGGGTAAGGTCAGGTCAGGTCGAGTTCTGGTGGAAGGTGAAAAAAACTCAAACACAACTCTACCTTATAATGTAATTTTCTTAAAAAATTATTATTATTTTAATTAAGTCCTTATTTATATTACGTCAGATTGATTCGGGTCAAATTTATACTCTAAAAATTTCGGATCAGATCGGAGTTGGGTGGATGATATATATTTTTCGGGTCGAGCCAGATGGAGAAAATATAATTTCGTGTCTAGTCAGATTCGGGTGAAGGATACATATTTTCAAGTTAGCTCGGATTGACCAGAAACATGACTGCTTCCGTCCCTACTCCTAAGTTGCCCCAATTATTTACTAAAGTAAAGTATACAAATGCTTCCATCACATTTTATTGAGTATTCCGACTATTAAAAGTTACAAAATGATTATTCGATTATTCATATGTATTAAACTCGGCCTTTTCCGTTAAAAACTTGAAGGTCGTCAGAGTTGGACGTTAATCAACTCACCGAGATATGACAAAATAACATTTTAATGATGTCTATTGGCACCACCGTTGCTTTCAAGCACTGACTCAACGACATAATGTAAACGGAGAGTCGATCCACAAAATACAGTTGAAACAATTCTGGTAAAATTTTATCATTTTTAAATTAACATGTTAACGTCAAACTTAAACGGCCACTAATTTTTTTAAAAAAGGGACAAAGTTGAAATATATGAATAGTTTGGTGACAATTTTGTAATTTTAAATGACTCAATAAAATAACGCCTTATAATCAAAAGAATATTTTATGACTTTTAATAGTCGAGAAACTTAATAAAACAATATTTGAGAATTATTTGTCTTCTCTACCCTATTTATTGGTCATACTTGATAAAACTGGGTTTGAGTCCATTTTTACTTGAGCATCTTAATGAGGCCAAAAGTTATATGAATATTGTATATATAGTGTTTTTATTTTATTGGTATATTTATAAATTTTCAATAGTATTAGAGAATATGTAATGTGAGATAAAATTAGCCTAACATTAGTTTGAGATAAGCAATAAATGATACATTACAGCTGAAATTTGTTTTTTTTTCGTGACTAGTTTCTTGAAATATTATTTTTTTATAGACCCTAATCATATTATTTTTTAAAAAAATATTATTAATTTAAGATGGAGTTGTTAATTATTTTAAACATAATGTATTTGTTGTGAAGTCCAAAAGTAAAACAATATTTGCAACCTCCGATGATAACGAAAAGAGGGTTAGCTTATGAATTCTACAAGACAGAATAGCATGGACCTCCGCCTCCTTCCGGCACCGTCCACTCGATGTTTTGCTTCGGATCTTTAATATCGCATGCCTGTAAATTGTTTAAATCAATACGTTAAACTCGGTTGGGAATGTCGGATGTCGATATATATATCCGACCTTTGTTTGTCGCGCTCTTTATTCGCTTCCACTGAAACCATTGCAGACTAGAAGAAAGGATGTTTTTGAGGTAAGTATCAACTGATCGTTTTTTATATTACCTTACAGTGCAAGCAATTTTGAGCATTGATCTGTAACTTGAGAAAATAATAGATTCAGGGACAATATATTACAAGGGATAAGCTGGAATAAAAAGTATGATAAGAAATTTACTCGTATACACGGGCAGGTCAATATCGTGACTCAGGTCCAGCATACAAAGGCAAGTTTACTGTTTCGGGAATATTCAGGTCCCTCAAGTGAAGATGAGCTGGCTGGTCATGGTTATGATTTGTATTGCTCCTAAAATGAAAATAAAAGATAAGCAAAACACTCCATAAGTCGGGACAGAATGATAAAGAGAATACGCATTTTTCGCTGAGTAATCCAGTTTCATACCGCATTTATTTGCTCATTTCCTTCGTTATCTACCATAAAAACCGAAACTAGAGGCTAATGAATTCTGGAATCAGTTCGAGATTTAGATTTTTTTTTTATCTAATAAATCTTTGGAAATAAAATCTAAACTATGATAAAGAAAATTAACACAAGGCAATGTGTTCCATTCTCTACACCTGTGCAAAGACGTTGGCACGTCCAAGGACAATACTCCATCCGGCTTCGGGTATTCAATTGGGGAATGTGACATAGCAACCTGCAAATTGAAGTGTGCTAATTAGTTGCAGAAGATGTGCACAAAATCGAATGCTAAAAGAGGTACAGGATTAACTTTTCTCTATCAGCATATGCAGCTTTGTTTATTTTTTTTCTTCATATAATTTACAACAATAATTCTATTTATGCGTCGGATTTGAGATATGATTAGGCTCATTGACAAAGAGTGTTCTTCCATTGTTTCCCATATTGACTGTTTTATCCAGAAACAACTTGGATTTCAGCTTACGATGAATTTTAACAGGGTTAACATGGATTCCTAGATCAAAATATATCCTAATACTTAATTTGCCATTTTGTAGTAACTTTTTTTTCCTCCAGAAAAAGGTTTCCTTACATTTGTTGCTTCATGGTCAGGTTTCCCATGCTTAAGCGTGAACGAAGATTTTCCTTTCAATACATAGCTGTAAGAAGTCAAAACAGAGCAACATTCACATTAGAGAAAATGGAAGTGAGCAAGTGTCGCCGACAAGTAATCTTTACATAGCTATGTCCAGCAAAAGATGAAGTCTTACTGTTCCAATGCACTTAAGGCTAAGCCCGGAAAAAGTCCATACTCGAAAGCCTACAAGAAATGAAACTGCTTTTCTAGGTGATGCTCGTCATGTTACTGTTGTGGCTAATGGCAGTGTGAATTAGACTCAACTCACTGTGTTTATCTCTTTTATTCAAAAAAAAAAATCGGTCGAATCCAAAATCTCAAGAAAGAGCAACACACTCTTCAACTATTGAGACTGTTTGATGGGTTATTATTATGTCTTTAAATTTTGTGTTTCAAAGTTTTCATTTTTATGATTTATTCGGATTGGCCCTTCTTTTAGAAAGCCTACTCAAGCTGGTTATAGTGAGAAAACGACTTGTGATGCCAATAGAAGATTCTCATGGATTCTTTCTAACATCAATGTAATTTTTCATCTATGAAAAGTGATAATAGATGTGGTCTAATTTTGCTTGTAGAAGAGGAATGTGTAAAATAATGCTTTAACCTTAGTCGTAAATGTAATTAATCGGGATCGTTATTGATTAACGGTGAGTCAGAGTTCCGCGTGAGTTACTCCGTTTGGTTTTAACGGCAAGTGACTATATTTAAATCATTTAAATAGTTATGTCGTCACGTTGTCAAAATTGGAAGTATGGTGGTCATATCAACACCAACATATAGTTAAGTGGTCATTTGAGGAGTAGTTTTCTCTGTATTTATTCTAATATGTTTTTCTTATTGAATTTCTTCTATAGAAGACATTTTAATTCGTATTTTTTTAATATTAAACTCTTTTTTTTATATATATATATAAAGAAAACTGAGATTCTCATGGAGATTTTCGATTTTGAGAGTACTCATGTGCTCCCGAACATGTTTCGGGTACACGAACTCTAAACAGATATAACTGATTAGTGGAGCTAAGAAACAAACAGATATTAAACGTTATGCAATGACAAGTTAATTTTTAATAACTTAAGACGTTTTAGATTTTAAACGTTTTCATTATTCTCGGTCTATGTGATTCTCATAACTCATTATTAAGCTTTAAAGGTATTTTATACGCTTTTATTTTATTACTCACTTTCATTTGACGAAGTGTTGGGAGATTGTGTACCATTTGTCGACAGATTATGTCGTGGAATCAAGAATTTCTTTAGGCAAAAGCTTCTTTTCTCAAAGAAAAATTTCTTGACTTCTTACGTTCCGAAGGTGGTTTGGAGTGCTCACTTGTATTATGTACGGACCCAAGATCTTCCAAAGTTATTCTCGTCTTACCGGTGCTATCTTGACCTTAATTAAGGAAGCTGTTAGATTTCAATATAGTGTTCCATTTGGGATAAACTCATACACCAGCAAAGGGACTTCAGCCTCTAAACAGCACCCTTAAAGCTTAACCACATTCCTATGGTTGATTTGAGACAAAATTATCACTTCATTGATGAACTGTTCAACCTTCTTCCCTTCCACCAACCTGGACTTCTTGATAGCAACAATACTTCCATCCGTTAGCATTCCTTTGTAAACAGTTCCTTGGCCGAGGATTCGGTTCTCGTTATAATAATCCGTCTCTTTTTCCATATCCTTCGAAGTAAACAACTTCGTTTTTTTTCAACATTACCTGTGTTGTTAGACAAATGCTGTGGAGTAACAGACCTCCGTTCCTCTTGAAGTATTTCTGCTTCAGCTTAACATTTTGTCTTCTTTTGTGTACTTTGAATGCTCTCCATGTTCCAAGGAGCATAAATATTGTCCCAATTGTAGTGCAACCTATATGAAACACAATTCTATCAAGGTAAATTAAGCAAGTAATCAAATCAACTCGATGAAAACCGATTGATAACGAGTGGATTCAACTCATACCTATAACGATGCCCAAGTTTAGAATCTTTTCGGTCGACACCGGTGAATGCAGCTGTAACTCGTTCAGTTGAATTCGAATTCAGGAGGACAATTCTCGGAAGAACAGTAGTTGCGAGGAGTATTCAGGCAAAGCATATGACAGAACCGATGTTTAGAATTCCCACATGTCGCATCTGTCATCCATATAAAAATATTATAGATTCATATAAGTAGGCAAGTAATATAGATAATTTGATTATACCTAGGCATACATCTGAAGATAGATCAGAGTAAGGCTCTATCCTGCACACAGAGATGAGTAGGGCTCAAGTTTCGCCAGCAGTGTTGTCTATCGGAGCTACAAAGAATGTCAAATTCTTCTTCCAACCGGCACCACCCTGACATGGGTGTGCCCCATTGCAGCGTTGCAGGAATATGCGTCAATCCACGGAGGTCCGGATTTGAGTTCCACACATTGATGAAGTCATTATAGACCACAGAAGCAAATTCGCATGATCCATTACTACTATTACTCGAATCAAACTTGGTCATATTTGCAGTAAAAGAATTGAGACCATGAGGAAGATATACAAAGCAGCCATTAACACTGGAAACCTCTTCATTAGTACCACAACTCTGTTGCAAACAGCAACCGATAGGATGACCTGTTTGATAATCGAAAACAGTAGCCAAATTACCGTAACCTGGAGACCAGAATATGTTCTGGGTCCGTGAGAAGTAAAATGGGGTTTCTGTTAAGTTGACACTGATCCCATTGACATGGCTTTTGTTTTTGCCACAGTAGAAATATGTTATCAGATAGTTGACCTCAACAGTTCTTTCGGAAAATTAAACCTGGAGTTGTTGCAGGTTGATGCTTTGTATGTAAGGCACCATCTTATTGTTGATTTCTTCGCATGTTACTCTAAATCGGTCATCAATGTAATCTCCCTGCTCTATTCCGAAAGGATATTCAATATCAACCGTCCCACATGTTCTGCTACGTTTAGACTTGAGAGGTGCCGTGGCAGGTCCTTGGCATAACGGCTCTGCTCAGCAGGAAGAAGAAAATTGCAACAAGTTACAAGAATTAAAATCCAACTCATATGCATACGTAAATCAAGTTTAGACCGACCTTCTAAATTGCAGGTGAACGGATTCCACTCGAGCGATGCAGCAACATGTGTGGTGTCGAAATCGATATCACTAAGAATCGGGTATTCATTCGGTTATGAACCTTGATCATGTCATACAGGAACGCGGAAGTGCATCTCTTGCTGTCTCCTTCACCAGTACCATTAGTATAAAAGGGTGTCATGTTGACAGTATAGGAAGTGAGATCTTCATTGATTGTGACAAAGCAGCCTGATTTAGAAGCCCCGTCATCGCACATTGTTTGCAAGCAGCCGGAAACATGATCAGTTCGGTTCCCAAAAAGAGTAGCCAGATTTCCGCAGCCTACCGAGCCGAAAAAGTTGTAAGAACTTGAGAAGACAAAGGGACTGCCTTTTAGATTGGTACTCGTAATAGATCCATTTCTGTTGGGACAATGAACGTAAGTAACTGGATTATTGACAACTGAAACCGATGTAAAATCAAGTATCTCCAGCATGAGACGATTGATGAAAGGTTTGAGCCCGTCCACGATTTTGTTGCAAGTTACTTGAAACCAAGAATTAGTATAACAGCCAGTTTCTTTTCCAAATGGGAGTTTAATACTAACATTCCCACATACTTCTAGTCCACAAACAGCCTTGCTTGCAGGTTCTTGTGATTTTGCTGCCTGTAATATTGGGCAAAACAAGAGTATGGGTAGGGGGAGCAAGTACAACGCACAATAGGAATCCATTTGGCTTGCTAATTTGTTTGAGGAAGACGAAGATGAAGACTGGCTTTTTATCTTTTTAGCAAGTCCTCGTTAATAGGTTAAGTTGGTAATGAAATTTCCCGGCTCTTGCTTTCCAATTATTTTATATATATAAATCAAATAATCATATATTCATCACATGACATGAATGATTCTCAAATTTTTAATTCATAGTGGGAGTGGTGGTAAAAATATTCAGTCCACCAAACTTCAACATTTGAGTCATTATTAATTAAATAATGATTCTCAAAATATATTATTGTTCATAGTAACATGTTTATCTTGTCAGTTATTTATAGTTAATCTATTTTGATTTGGTTGAGATTTAATCATGGACTGATGTTTTTCTACGAGGGAATAAAAAAATATATGCAGGGTGATAGTATATATATTTTGGTTTGGTTGACTAATGTTTTTCTAAGAGGGAAAAAACACATAAACGGGCATGTGTGGATGTAAAAAGTCATACCCATCGTAAGTAGTGGGTAAGTGATGAGTTTAAGACCTTACTCGCTCCCCATCCGTCCGCTCACTAACTACTCACCTTATAAATTTTGGATTAATATGAATTTAAGTATAATTTCAGAGATTATTATGTAAATCTTAAGATTTTATAGGACATGACTTATAATTTTACAAAATTTAACAAAATGTACGTGTTTATTTATGTTTTGTTGCCTATGCAACCTGAGGTTGCTGCTAGACAAACAAACAAGCAATGGAAGAAAAGACGAACGTAAATTTTGCATTTACAGACTATTCTTACAACTACAAAGCAAATATGGTGAGCAAATTATGGCTCAAACCAGTCATCAAGAAACTTGGAGGAAACAATATATTAACAATCATACGCAACATATTGTTCTTCAAGCAAAGATCGAACTCAGGTTCATTTACGAGTAAGGTGAGGTTGTTTAAACCAAGATATGCACCTTAATCATCTCCGCATTTGGTAATATAATTAACTGATCTCTTCGAAACAACTTCCACAGTTCGAGAATCAACTGAAACGGAAACAAAACTTTCGGCATCATTACTTTGCCCGCCATGGATAAATGTTTAAACAAGATTCTATCTGATTAAGCAATTACAGAGAAGAGCAACGACTGGAGTAAAGGGACTCACAAAGTTAACATATGTTCTTATGCATAGAAGAGATGAGCAACGACTGGACCAAAGTGACTCACAAAGTTAACAGATGTTCTTATGCATAGAAGAGATGTCAGACGGAGGCTCACCTTAGAAAACGAGCGGTCTTAGTCTTCAGATTCAAACTCCCACAGATTGTTGGACACCAAATTAACTTTTAAGGATAGGCGCCGAGTGTGCTCTTCGATATAATTTAAAACCATCTGAAGCTGTTCTTGGTAAGCAGCAAATTTCTTTTTCTCGCGATGCAGCTCGGTGGACAGTTCTCGAATCTTAAGATCTTTTTTCATCCTGCAAATCAGAAGCTAATGCATATAAGGGCAATTTGAGTTGTAATTTATAAACAAATACCGTTAACGAGTACAAAAAGCCACAGAGAACCCTAGTGCAAGCTTGAAAATGACAATACTCTCCAACATGTCTTACGGTCAAAAGGTTCCTAAATTATATATCTATGGTGTCATAAAGAAAATAAACATAAAAGTACTTATATTTGGCTGTAGAACATCATTAATGTCATCTCAGGCAACAAGCTGTTGTCATCTCTATGAATCATTAAAAAGAAGTGCTAACATACCTCACAAAATGCAATTTGATGTGACGGTCGAGGTGGTATTTTGCTTGGATTCAGTTCATGAGTATGTTCTTTAATAAAACCATAGATAACCCATTTCCCCCAATCCTTCGCTGCTATTCTCAGCATTGCATCACATCCCTCTCTCGTCGCAGGCCGTGATTGGAAGACTCGGGTTCCTTTCTTTGTACATTTCTCCACACGGAAACCTTCTTTCGAGCAAACAAACTCTCGACCGGTTATCGAATTATCCTTGAGTGAACGACGTGTGCGATTGTTCCGAATGGTGAAGCTCATTCGTCGACCGTACATTTCGTACAACTCCCTAGCATCTTCTGCAGACTCAAACTCCAAACCTATATGTGGTTCCGTATGTAAATGTCAATCAAATGGGTTAATCAAATTACCATTTTCATCGAGAATACTATCTGATACCTAGCACCGTTAACTGCTATGTCAGCATCGTAACGGTCAACAACGAAAAACGTTGATAAAAGGGTCACATTTGACTTATTTTCTGAGTTAGAGGGCCACATTGAGAGAAAAAATAATATGAGAGCCACAATAAATTTTTTTAAAGTACAAGAATCTTTGATGCATTTTTGCCCGAAAATAACAACACGTCAATTCCATTTCCCCCGTGTATTTTCTATAATACCCTAATTCAGCAACCTCCAAACTAATCATGCCCATTAATAAAAGTTGAGATTTCATGAACTAATAAGGAAATCACAAAAGATACCTAAATAAAGATAGCACAATTACACGTAGGTGAAAAAGAAAAAGGAGGAAGCTATCAACCGCTTAAAAGCTCCTTTGCCTCAGCATCAAACCTTTTCAAATTGTCCAAAGTTCTTTGGACTTTCATTGATATGTCATAGTTGTGATCTTCAACTTCTTTCACAAATGCTTCTAGCTGCTCGTGGTATGATGTACTCAACCGCTTCCTAACCCGCAGTTTCCCAGTTAATTCCTGGATTTTCTTATCCTTCTCTTCATCCTGTAATTCCGGCGAGAGAATCGATAACAATAATAATCAGAAGAAAGAATCTGAGCAGACATAGTAAGATCATATGATTTTTGATGATGTCAAGAAACCAATCATCTCCTGACCAAAAATTGCAATCAAAGTTCATCATCTAATAGATATCTAATCATATAAATCAGCCTTTATCCAAGAAATGAACTAAATATTTGGGTTAATGTGTTACAACCATACCATGAATCTGAAACTTCAGATTTTTTAAACCCATGAGAGTTGTTTATGCTCTCCCCTAAAGCTGCAAATACACAAATGGAACTTCTAGATCCCTTATCACAAGGAAACAACTCATTGACAGTGTAAATATTGCACTGCCTTTGTGGCTACACTCATCCGACCAGATTCCTCCGGCCCAAAACAGATAAAGTATCAAGACAAAGAGGTAGAAGAATACGGACAAGACAATCTACGGAATCTTACAAGAAAAGAAACACAACTCTAATGAGAGTAGTTGAGTACTACTAGGAAGAAAATGATAGGAAATGTCCGTTGGAAAAAGGAGAGCCTAAACAGAACATATAATGACAGTAATTCAGTAAATAAGCACCCTAATGGTAAACACAAGTTACAGTGCTCCTTCCTACATAAATTATTGGTAAATTCCTAACCCACAAAATCAAGAAAAATATCAGTACAATGGTAAAGAACAATAAAACTACTCTTAGATGATTGTGATCAAATTTGTTTGAGCAGGCTCATAATTATATATTTACAAAGACAAAAAGCTAAAAAATACTTTCTCAATGGATAACAAATATAATGTAATATAAAGAAATCATGTCCTATTCCTTTTCATTTGACAAGTAATTAACCGAGGAATAAAAAGCTTACAAGTGTTTTGTGGCTTTCTTCTAACTGAATCACCAAAGGATGATTATGGTCCCTTATAAATTTCTTAATCATCCATCTCCCATTCTTCTCTCCTCAAATGAATCATTGCTGAGCAGCTTTCTCGTTTCTTGTCTTGCTTCTAAAGTTGAACATTTGTCTGATCATCATAGTAACCTCTACATCCAAGTCCACGAGAGAAGAGTAGGCTGTCACGCTCCGACTTATGTGAAGATAGAACACGCGTCAAAAACCCTACTTGTCTTGCATAACCATCATAAAACGTTTTGGCAGCCCCTTCTGATTCAAATACCATACCCACGTAGGTTCCTGAATTGTGTCATAGTCATGCAAATTTGGTTCATCCACAGTAGAAGCTTCTAATCTACCATCACCATCATCCACTTGTTCACCCACTGATGCACAAAGAGATTTGGTTAAATAGAAACTAAAATAAGACATCTAGCAAACATAAACAAGTAGTCAATGGTTAGTAGGAAATACTCAAATATATAAGGGAAAAAAGAGGACTAAATTAAAGTAACAAATCATCTAACATATACAAGTGTAATCCCAATCAATATCAATGATGAGGAATCACTCAGATGATATAAACCACATACCTAACAAAACAATCATACACAGGTGGGGAGAAGCTTATTTCAACACTAAATCGTTAACTCTATTACGGTATGATCCTTTTCTGGTCAAGCATCAGGAAAACTCCAATCATGGGCAATCTTCCATTCAAAGGCATACATAGTGCCAACCAGATAAAAAACCAGAATACCAATCGATAATGCCAGTTGATGTACTACATTATTAACATGATTAAAAACCAGACATACATAGTGTCAACACTAAATCGGTAACTCTATTATGGTATGATCCTTTTCCGGTCAAGCATCAGGAAAACTGCAATCATGGGCAATCTTCCATTCAAAGACATACATAGTGCCAACTAGATAAAAATCCAGAACACCGATCGATAATGATGGTTGATCTACTACATTATTAACATGAGATATGAGCAGCTCCAGGTTTTTAAATCTCTATATCGAATAGCAATATATAGAAGGCATTTATCAGAAAATTTCCTAAGGAGCATCTCGAATTCAAAACACAAATGGCCAAAGTCAAAAGTTACAGTACCAGTTCCAGATTGAATAATAATCACTAAAAGTGAAATAAACAAACAAACAAAACCAGGAACTCAATCATGAATGAGAACAATTACATCAATAATATTCCTCTTCAAACAAAAAGATATAAAGGTAAAGTTGAATTTATGCTTGAATTTTCATAATGCACAGGTTATAAAAATCATTACAAAAAAGGAAGGGGAAAAACGCTAAATGAAGACAAAATTGAGCAAGTGAAAATAAGTAAAAAAGGTGAAATTTCTAGGGTTGTTCTTTTTTAATAATAATTAAAAAAATAAAAGAGAAAAGTCATCATTTTTCAAAAATTTAAGTGAAACAAACGAAAGATTGAACTTACTGGAATTAAGAAGGATTTTTGTTTTTTTGCTCCGTTAACAAGATGAGAGAGGAAGAAGACGATAAAACGAAATGAAAATGAATAAATAGGGTAAATTATGTGTTTAGTCCGTTTTAGTATCTAATTTTTTTAAAATCATACATATGTTTTAGTTTTTATTTCATTTTAATATTCATTCAAAATTTAATGTTAAGTTTTGGAAACAATTAAGTTTAGTTACTAAAACAGACCAAAATAGATAATTTATGAACTAAATGTGTTAATTTTTTAACAATGTGATACTAAAATGAAACAAAACTAAACGTTAGATATAATTTTAAACAAATTAAAAGTTTAAGTATTAAAACAAACCAAAACCGATAATTTAAGTTTATATGCAATTACACAATAAAATATTGAAAAGGAGATTTGTTTTGGGTAAAATACACCCCAAGTCAGTCAATATTATTTAGATTATAAATTGGTCATTTGTTTCTAAAAAGTTATAATTTAATCACTCAATAAAAATATTGTTATAATATAAACATGTCTCTTACCGTTAAATAATCTAATTCACAAAATTTTGTTTTTGAAACTTCCTTAAATTTAATCATTAAAATTTTAGTTTATTTAATTTTTTTTATCGTTAATAGATTAATATACAATAAGATGAAATGATTGATTTTATGCTGATGTGGAAGTTACCTATTGGTCGTGTAGATGACATTGAAATCAATATTCTCTAGAGTCTTCTCTCACCACAAAAGACATCAACAAACTCGTCATGCTGTTTTCAATCATTTTATCAGTTTACATTTTTATAAAATCTCTTTAAAACTTGTAAAACTCAATCTAAAATTTAGAGAAAAATGACTTTGATCCACAATTTCTATGGTTTAATCATGGAATCAGATATATAGCTCATATCCTCCTTATCCACCTCTCCAATATAGGATTTTGAAGGAAGATGTCTCATCATCGAAAAATCAAGGAGAATCTAAAAAAATACACAGAAAATGAGATGTAAGATTTAATGGAGAAGAAATAAAATTAATAAAAGCCATGCAGGAAAAAGCAATCTAATTATATAGGTTCAATTTATGCATGGATCCAAAGGTATGTTGTTTAGCAAAATTGGGCATATTTCATTCTCAGCTATTCTATTAAAGAATAAAATAATACCTCCTAATATTCTCTTTGGTCTTGCACGAACCAAGTGACCTCGAAAATAAAAGAATTGTTGTTAATCCTTTAGGTCTCGGGTTTTAGCATCATGAATGTCAGGGGAGTGAGCGTTCAACGTCAAATGATTGAAAGTTATCTTTTGCAATTATCCCAGATTAATGAAAAAAATAAATTATTAATACATCATGTGCAAAGGAGAGGACCTAGACTTATTGCAAGGTCATACTAGATTTAAAATTTTACATGTATTAATACATCATTTCTTCTTTATACAAAGCTGAAGCTAATCTTGTATAATTATTTACATAAAATATTGAAAAAAATTTGTTCTTAAGGTCCTTTTTTTTTAGAGAAGATGAAGACACAAGCATTCTTATAATTGAAGGAAAACATATTTAAAAACATGATTCGACGAGGGGAAATATATTTTGAAAATACTGAATCTGATTTTGAAGATATGCCCAGGAAATTAGTATAAAAAAATATACAATTCAATACACTTAATTATTGTTATATTAAGAGTTCGAATTACTTATATATGTCCTATTTTAATTAGGGATGCCATCAATTGAATTATGGAATTTGGTATTGTTATAATGCCAATATCAAGTTCTACAATTCAAGTAAAGACAGCCCGACCAATAAATCACAAATATACAAAATTATTCAAACTCTTACTTTAAGAATAATTTAGAATGTACTAAAAAGTGTATTTTTAAAGGCTAATTATGTAAATATATTTTCGATTCAAATTTGATCATCTTCCACTACCTGTTCTTAGGTTCATGTTATATAACATTTTTCATTCAACAATATAATGTTTGTATCTTCTTCTTCCATAAAAAAAAAAAAAATAAACTTCAACAACAAACTTACTTTTCGTTTTTTCAAACCATATTATACAATATTACTTCATAGTTATTTTATAAAGAAAAAAAAGGATGTAATAATATTTGTAGAAGCTTTAAATAAGAAAATCTCGTTCTGCTTCACACTAAGCCTAATTGCTTTTCTTCCTTGCAAGAAATAAAGATAATCAATTCATTTGCAATCTAATGGATCTTGTTCAAACTCATGTGGCTGTTACAATGACCATGCCAATTAATAATAGGCCACATAATCATCAACATTCACAATCATTATATATATTTTAGGGTAAACTACACGTTTAGTACCTTAACTATCAGTTTTGGTCCGTTTTAGTACCATAAACTTTCAATTTTTTCAAAACCATACTTAAACTCTAGTTTTTGTTTTATTTTATTACCCGTTCAAAATTTAAAGTTAAGTTTTTTTAAAAAATATGAAAGTTCAGGTACTAAAAAAATTTGGCTGCATTTTTCCAGGGTTGGGAAATTTAGATAGGATGTTTTGAGTAATTTTTGAACTGGCCTCTTTGCCAATGGTTATACTTGCAGGCTCTAGACTTGGCTGGAGCACCTAGGCATTAGATGTATTATCGGGTGCATTCCGATGTCCGGAATTTCGGCTACGCTATAGCGAGATCGTCGGAGAAGCATAGGAAGCAAAGATGACACTTTACTGGTGACTTAAGGCAAGTTGACCAATTTAAACAATTTGAGTCTATGGGTTGGTGCAAGAATGAATTTTGTAGCCCTTGATATTATGTTACTATGAATTTTTCTCATCTGCAGGTGTTCAGTCAACTACTTAGGCCTTCTTCTGTAACCTCTGTCGTGACAGGGAACGGCGACTCGCCTCGACCCTATGCAAGTACTTCGCACGAGTGAACTTAGCAAACCATATGCTCGAGTGCACCACAATCATTGTACTAACACATTTCTCAAGTGTTCAGCAGATTTCGGGTTTTGGATGCGGAAAATTCTTCGGTTGACAATCATGCTTATGATGCTTTACTCTAAGACACATTGATGCTTTCGCAACCGACTTCGGATTAGATTCTTTTGCGGGAAGAGAAGAATAAGGAAATGCAGGATCTATACAAAAAGAATGGCCCGCTGCGTTCCGACGACGACTACGGATGATTCTCTTGAAGAGCATGCTGAATTCATGTTGCTTAGAGTTGAAGATAACACAAATATTATTAAAACAAAAGATAAAAAAAAAACACTTCTTCCTCGTTCAAGTATCATTCAAGCAAATCAAATGAAAATGAAACAATTAAATGAGAATGGGGAAAAGCCAGAAACAACAAAAACACCAATTTTACAAGCCTGAAGAAATAAGAAAAATATATTGTCATCAAATCTTTGGTGATAAAAACTGTTCCCATTGCTTCCCCTCTCTTCTTCAAGTTATAGACCCGATTTTTGAGCCACGACATCGTGTGACAAGTGGCAGTAACCCGTTGGCACCGATACGCTCTGATGAACCAATGCAATGCAGCAACGAGTCGAGGCCGGACAAATCCAAAAACAGATCCCTGACTTGAGAGTTAAGCCAGGGCATTGAAACCGCCTGCTTTCATCATTTGCTTGAACTCCAAGAAATCAACCCTACCATCCCCATCTGCATCTACTTTCGTTATCATCCTCTTGCAATCTTCCATCGCTTTCCCTTGCTTAAGTCCAAGCGCATCCAAAACGGACCTCAATTCATTGACAGAGATGTAACCGTCCCCGTTTTGATCGAAAACGTCGAAAGCCTCCTTCATATCTTTCTCTTCATCCTTATTTTCCATTATTGATTGATACAAAGCGCTGAATTCATCGACGTCGATACACATATCGCCGTCAACATCGAACTGTTCGATCATTTGCGTCAGGTCGATATCAGAGACAGAGATGCCCATATTCTCCAACGAATCATTCAACTCTTTCTTTGTGATCGCCCCGTCCCCGTCCCTATCGAACATTTGGAAAATCCTCTTCAAATCCGTCGCGTCCATTCTTTTCGGAGGGGATGCCAATGCGGTCGCTGGTGTTGGTGTCAGAGACGTGTGTGCCCCGACTTGACCGCCGACGGAGACGAAAGCGGGAGCGTGGGTCGGATTAATCTGAGGACCAGAGAGGAAGGATCTGAGTTTCTTGGGGACCAAACAATCTAAAACAAGATTGTATATAAAGAAAATCCGAAAGAAAATGGTTGGCATTGGAACAAATTTTGTGTGGTGGGAAGAAAATTTGGTGCAAATTGGGAGGAGAAGTGAGAGCCTTTAAAATAGGATGGTTAGGGGTGACATTAAATAATTAAAATAATTGATGTACCAAAAAAAATAATTGTAATAAGGTTTGCATTAAATTAAATAATTATGTTATAAGGCTTCAAAGACGCGTTGCTCTGGAATTAAATAAATAATTGGACCCATTTGGTAACGGATCCCACTACAAAAAGGAAAAGAAAATGTAAAAGAAAGGGGGGACCGGCTGATGATTTGTGACCGTTGGATTGCGATTATTGTGTATGTGTTTTTTTTTTAAAAAAAATAGTGTTGTTTAAATATCTATGGGTAAACTACGTATTTAGTACTTAAACTATTAATTTTAATCTATTTTAGTATCTAAACTTTTAAAATTTTCAAAATCACACCTAACTTTTAATTTTTATTTCATTTAGTATTTTTCTAACCATTAAAAATTTAATGGAACTTTTACTCGTGACATTTTTATGGGTAAATTACATTATTCATCAATTAACTATCTTCTCACTCCTATTTTGGTCATTAAAATTTAAAAAAAAAATCATTTTAACTACTCAACTTTCAAATTGTTCGTGTTTTAATCACTCTAATTTATTTTATAAATAATGTTTTCTGACATGATTTTTTAATTATTTTATTAATATATAATTAAAATAAAAAATTAAATTTGAATGTCAGGGTGATTAAATTAGGAGTAATTTGAAAGTTAAGTAATTAAATTAAAAAATAAACTTTAATGACCAAAATATGAGTAAGAAGTAGTTGAGTGATGAATGATGTAATTTACCATAAAAAGTGTCATGTTGTAACAATTCCGCTAAGTTTTTAATGATGGGTACTAAAATGAAACAAAAACTAAACATTAGGTATGATTTTGAAATAATTTAAAGTTTAGATACTAAAATAGATCAAAAATTATAGTTTAGGTACTAATGTGTAATTTATCCAATATTTGTTTGTTTCAATGGTAAAAGAGAATATTATTCTCTCGGGAGGTTTTGAATTTGAATAGTTACATCTGTAAAATATGTATGTGTTGACAATTAATTAATTTTTTTAAAAAGTACTACCTTATAATTACTCTAGACTATTAAAAAAATAAAATGTTCGGTTCTCTTTAAACTGCAAATTTTTTATCCAATTAATTTTTTTAAAAGATGTTAAGATATTTTATTTTCTTAATTTAAAACCATATTTCAATTGGTTTAGCTTTAAATAAATTTCATGTTTAGTATTTTAAATATCATTTTGATTATTTGATTGTTTTATATTTTAAAATTATATTTTATTTTATATTTTATTTTTATTTTGATCACTCATTATTAAAATTTATAATAATATATATGTGTCACTATGAGACAACGACACCCGATTAATTATATGTTATTGACTTGAACAATTAATATTTTATTTAGTTATTTTTTATTTAAAAACTATAAAATATAAAATTGATTATTTAAATGTTTCTCTTTGTTCTCATACCAAACGGTTGTGGCACGCCTAGTTTATTATTTTCTCCGCTCCACGTGGACCTCAACTAAGGTATCGGTTGAATGGGTTATGGATTTATTTTATTTTAGATTAGAATATATTTAATTAGTAATTTGTTCGATTTTAATCATAATTATTCTAAATCTATTAATTATACTATTAATATATAATTATATATACAACACTCTCAAACTAAATCTTGAATACTTTTTGCAAGGATAAATATATATTTTAACACTTGAGTTTGGTATTAAAGTGTAATTTCACACTTTTCATAAAAAAATACAATTTGATACTTAAATCTTTTAATTAAATTAGAAAACTGAATTTAATTTTAAAGTTTAATTTAATATTTAAACTTATTTTTGGTTCAACCAAATATTTGATTTTGACTTATTAATTCAAAATTAATATCTGAACTTCACTTTATATAACATAAAATATTTTAAATACAATGTTAAAAAAAAATTAAAATTTAGGTAAAATACACAAAAGTTCATCGACTATAGGACATTGTTTTATTGAGTTTATTGATTAAAAAGTTAAAAAAAATAGTCCATTAACTATATGGAGTTATTTTGTTTAGTCCATCGACTATTAAAAGTTATAAAATTGTCGTTTAACTACTCATTATGTTATAAACTTGCCTTTTTTCGTTAAAAAATTAACAATTATCTGAGTTAGAATTTAACATGCTAACTGAGATTTGATAGTTGTGTGAGATTATGAGATCATATTTTATCATATCTTAGCTAGGAGGTGAAATTACCATTTATTATTATTATTATTATTATTATTATTATTATTATATTACAAAAATACATAAAAAATCAAAAAATAAAGGAAAATACAAAAAAATTAAAAAAATAGAGAAATAATCCCATAAAATCTGCTGCCCATTGCTGCCATAAGACAAAAACAGAGGGATTGTTTTTTAACTTCAAATTGTTGTTTTTTTAGCTCGGTGGTTTAGTTGTGTGCCGTCAAAGCCATTTGCCCATGTTCGAATCCAATTCCTGCCTAAATTACTATTTAATTTAGGCTCTTATCAAGGTGGTGACAAGTGTCGCCACTGTGTTGGAGGAAAAATAAATATATTAAATAAACAAAAATATCCTCCAATATTATTTTAATTGAATTAAATTATGATCAAATTGATATGATGTATGAATATTGAGTATCAAATATGCAATTATACAAAAAATTTAACTGCCCGGTAACCTCCATTATTAAAAGTTAACGATAGTGGTTTGATTGAATCATTCAAATAGTTGGGTGGTCTGTTTTATCAAATTGAAATATCGGTGGTCAAAATGATTTTTGACCATAGTTGAGTGATCACCTATGTAGTTTACCCTAAAAAAATTATTGTTCTAGGTCCTATTTGATATTTTAGTCACCAGGTTATTACTTTTGAAACTTTAGTATGGAAAACAAAAACTTATTTAAATATTAATTATCATTTGTGTAGTTTACCCTTTTAATTTTATAAATCATTTGTATCACGCTAACACTTCGTTAAAATTCTAATTACAATTAACCCTCAATGACCACATCTTAATTAAATAAAAAATAATAATTATCATATATTATAATTTTTAAAATTATTGAAGAAAAGTGAATACAATATAAACAAAAGTGATAAAATCTTTATATATATATATATATATATATATAAATTCTTGATCATTTATGGTGATGAATTCCAAACAAGCAAAAGAAGTCGCAAGCAAAAATCAGGCAAAACAATAAAAAGGGACTGCCATTTATTTGTCATTATCCTCGCATGCATTTGATAATAAATGGCATAAATATTAGGGTAAATTATAGTCACACAAATATTAATTTGATTTCTTTTGGTCACTTAATTATTTGTTCTTTCAAATTTTTACTAATATTATGTTTCGGTTTTATTTTAATCATTGTCATTCGAAAATTAACAGTAATATTGACGTATTATCATAAGATAATGTCACGTCATCAGTGAAAAAATAAAAAATATCATATCAACAGTTCTATTAATTTTTTAACAGCGGATGACCAAAATGTAACGTTAGTAATGACTTTAAAGATAACAATTAGTTGAAAAGTGATAGTTGTATGACTAAATTCATTATTTACCCTAAATATCATTCAAAGTATAAATGTATTTAACCAGTTTTTGACGAGTACAAACCTCGATTGGTTAATTCTATAAAAGCCCAGCATAAATTTCACAATACATTTTACATTAACATTGAAGAATTTAAGGTAAATTATATATTTAGTACTTAAATTATCATTTTTATCTGTTTTAGTACTTAATTTTTTTTTTAAAACCATACCTAACGTTTAGTTTTTTTTCATTTTAATGTCTCTCTATTAAAAATTTAATGACACTGCATTTTTATGGGTAAATTACATCATTCATCATTCATCATTCATCATTCAATTATTTTCTCACTCTTATTTTGGTACAAAAGTTTAAAAATTACCCATATAAAGGTGCCACCTACAAATCACCATTAAGATTTTAATGGCGATGTGCTAAAATAAAACAAAGACGGAAGATTTAGTATGATTTTTGAAAAAAAATAAAAATCTAAGTACTAACACGGATTAAAACTGATAGTTTAAGTACTATGTACCCAAGAATTTAAGTTTTTTCCCTACATTACAAGCAATAATTTGGCTTGAAAAACTTGTCGCCGAATGTCTTTGTTCCATCTCTAACACCTCCATTTTCACCAGTTCCAGTCTCTTGTTCCTGTTGACCCTCAAAAGCTGGATGTCTAAGAATACAGTTAAACAACTCAGTTCCTCTCAAAGCGTTCGTCAATGGCAGATGACCTTCCGGTGTTTGGTCATCGAGTTCCCATATGAACTCGTTGGGGAAAGCCCTGTAGTTGTATTGTTCGATCTCTGTGTCGAGCTTTTTCATCCACCCCAGTTTTAAGAACAACTTGGTGAAGTCCTTGTCAACTTTCTTCCAGATGTTCTTCTGCACGCTGTACCCGAACTTGTTGTTGCTGTGTTTTCTCCATGCTTGATCGATTACTTTGAGATCAGTTTCCGGTATGAATTGTACTTCGGAGAAGCAGACGTAGCCGCGTTTCTCTTCGCTGGCTAGGAGTATGAGCAGACGACGTGTCTCTTCGTCGGCTTGGCGGAAGTTTGGGGCCGAGAGGTGGTGTTGGAGGGTGTTAAAAGAGGATGTAGTGGTGGAAGAATGAAGAGAGGTGGTGGTGGAAAGGATGTTTGTGGCGGCGGCGGTGGTGGAGGGTTCTTAGAGAAGTAGAGGTCATGTTTTTGTTTGATTTTTTGTTGGATTGTGAGCGAACTTTAAGGGTCATAAATATTGGATTTGTTGATGGAAGATAAAAGATATGAGAAAAACATTGGATTGTGAGTGAATATTAACATATCTATTAGTATTAGTATAAGTATATGATATTGGTTTGAGATCTTGAGATAAAATTTTATTATATATCAATCAATATGTTAAAATCTAAATTAGGATGTCATAAATTTTTAACAGAAATATGAGTTTGTAACATATAAATAATTTGGTGACATCTTATAACTTTTAATAATCAAATGACTTAATAAAATAATGACCTATAGTCAGAGAATCACTTTGTAACTTTTAATAATTAGGACACAACAAAACAACATTCTATAATCGAGACTATTTGTGTAGTTTGCCTTTATTTTATTTTATGGTGAAATTCAATTAAAACAGACAAAATATTCCATAATTACTTAATTATGGAATTGTAGGGAAAAGACATTTCGGTCTGCTATGTTAATTACAATTTTAATTGTTCTTCTACAAAATATAAGATTATGAATATTACGAAAATTTTGAACCTAAAGTCTGAGAATTTTTTATTATTAATATGAGGTAAGTATATGGTAGAATTTGTTTATAGATAATTTATAACTATTTGATATTAAACACTCATACTTTTAACATTTCTGATACTTAAGTTATTCGAATTTCTCTTTAAATTTAATTATAAATATATATAATATTATGATACTATTTAATTTCAATTTAAAATGTTTTCTATAACCATATACAATACATATATATCTTAATATTTTTTCATACATAATATATACATATCATATTGAATCAACAAACTCGACTCAAATTTAAATAGTTTTCATGTCAAATTTATAAAATTGCAACTCAAAGTTAATTCAAATTGAATTTTTCCAAGTCCAATCGATTCAAAAAGATCAATTTTTTGAATCGGATTGTATTCACGTTATCCAATGCAAGATGATCAATTCAATGGCAAAAATATTCTCTTAAGCTAACAATTTTTGACGTTAAAGGTTATAACAGAAATCGAAAGAAAATTTTAAAAAACCTGTCATGTGTCATGCTTTTATTAGTCACCAGAAATTAACCTTAAAATTGTTAGGAAATAAAACGTTAGACACCCATTTGACCAAAAAAAAAAGTTTGAGAACTTAAAAAAAAAACAATATAAATTGGACACTGGTTTTTCAACGAGGCCTTTCTCCTTCTAGATAGATATCAAATTACCAGCCTTCACAAAATATTCATGATGACCAAGACACCAAAGTACATTTGTACATACAACAGCAGCTAGTCAAGGAAGATCAAATAAATACAATGCACACATTAATTCATAGTGCTAAATTGCTAATGTTCTATAGAACTTAAAGAACCACGACGTTCTTAATGCACCAATAACCTATGCTCATAAATGATAAAGTTCACGACGGTTAGGCGACAACTATCTGTTCTCCCTAATTTATTTCGGAGGGGGGAAGATGAGAATGACGCGCTTTACACCGCTTGTCTTCCTCAATGGATAAAAGAGAGTACATACAGACTAGAATCTTGGCAGTCACAAATCGAGAATGAGGACTTGTCTAAATATCATGGCTTTGGTTTGACGGCGACGATGATGCTACTTGGATAGGGTATATATTAAGCAAATATTTTGTGATTTTGTGGTTCTCTAGTATGAAAATTTTAAAGATCTTGACAATCAGATAACATGAACAAAATCTAAGTGCACCTCAATTAGAAGAAAAGAGAAGATATCCACAGGATTTAAACTGTTCCAATACATGCCAAGCAAAGACCCTCGGTGCTTCCGTTAGAACATAAAGTTGTCACATGTCAGTGAAAGGTAGAAGGGCCTGAATCATCTGAAATTCTCACATTATAGCGTCGTGCCAAACGTCTAACAGTTCCATCAGCCATCAAGGTATCTAACATCTCATACTTCTTGTAATTTGCTTTCAAAGTTTCTCCTTGTTGCTTTGCAAGCTTCTCCTCCTTCTCCAGTTGATGCTTCAAAGCAACAAATAACAAGTTCAATGTAAAATAACAATATCTTACACGCCTAGAAGCAGATGGATTTTACACGAGATTTAGAATTTATCTTGAGCATCACTTCATTTTCAGTGGCATGCTTTTTCACAAGCTGCTTAAGCTTGTTTCTACCTCAAAATTGGGATCAGAAGGGTCCAACCAATGGACATGCAGATTTCGACCAGGCTTTCTTGGGCGATCACCAAACATCTCGGGCACAGAAGCACGTGCCCTCACAGGCCTTGGCATTCCAGACATCATGAAAGGCAGTTCTGATAACGTCGAGACGACAACTTCAGATTGCTTTTCTTTCTCCATCTCCACCAAAGCACATCTGGGCATGTTCCGAGGCTCCAGTTAGTTCGGAAGGAACTCAACACACTTGACAGTTCCATACTGATCAAGAGCAGTTCTCAGGACTGACTCGGTTACAAGTGGTGACAGGTTATCCAAGAAAACCGTCCGCCTCACCTTCTCTTTGAAAGCGGCATACTCATCTTGTTCAGCAGACCCCATCTAGGATCAAAACCTATATACCTGATCATTGAAATTCCAAAGGCAGTTGGAAAAACCAACTTTTTCTCCAAATTTCCAATACAATATATTCATCTAGACAAACCAACAAAATATGACATCCCTGAAGTAAGGTTTCATTTGGCACTAATCTTTTTTCTAATATTATTTTTAAGTTACTTTTGGTTCCTCAAAAGTTGTTAAACAAAATCACAATTTTCTTCAAAGGTAAACAAATGAATAAAGCCACAAACACCAACACATAATCTATCATATTGATTTCACATATAAAACTAAGATCATGAATTTTATTAGCGCAAAAAACTCATGAATTTTGATATTGAAGAAAAATTAAGCCATTGCCATTTGAAATTCTTCAAAATAAGTTTCCAACGCACAAATTTCTAAATCAACGCAAATAATTTAAAATTAATAAAAAAATAACCTTTTGGATTGTTCAACTCTAGCGGAAGAAATGAAAAATGAACAAAAAATTAATGGAAAAGCTGCAATTTTAAAGAAAACAAATATTCAGCGGAACGTCAAGAGTCAAGATAGTGAAAGAGATACCTTGTGGTGAAGGCTGAGGAATGAAGAGTGTCGACGTCGAGGCTGCCAGAGTGTTAGGCGTACACCGCCGAGCGAGGAAAAACAAGAAGAGCCTCTGGAAACACTAAAGAAGCGAGGGAGAATTCAGTGAAGAGAAGAAAGAAGGAAAAGGATCGCCATTGGAAAGAAAAAGAATACGGGACTGCGACGCCGGTAACGTGTAACGTATAGAGAGTGAGAGAGGTTCGGGTAAGAAATTTCCAGAGAAAAGCATTACATAAAATCAAAGGGAGTTTTATAATTTGGTTTAAATTTAAATAAAAAACTATATCACTTTTCAAGAATAGATACGTAAAGTATATTATGATTCATCTCGATATCTAATGTTATAAAAATCATTATTTTATGTATCCAAACCTTCAATGCTGTTAATTTATTCTCTTAACATGTCATAGGATGATGATTTTGAAAGTTATTTTATTATAAAAAAAAATTATTATATTTATAATAAAAAGACTAATTTCTCTTAAATTATAAAAAATTTAAAATCCCTAAAATCTTGAAATTCTAATCTTAACCCACCGATCCCGTCCTTTTCGGCCATGACCACCGCCAGCGACGTAATCCCAGTGATCTTCCTAGTTATACGATATCGTAATTACCGTCGATTGACCGTCGAAATCGTGTGAGATCATGATTTTCATCCTAGGGTTTGTGGGGTATAAAATGTCGATTCATTGTCGATCGACCACGATTTCATAGGGGTTTTGATCGTCGGGGTGAGGTGAGGTCAAGTGGAACTTCATCGACGACAAAAGACGATGACCGACGTGGGTTTAAGGGTTGAAATGAATGTTTTCAAAGTTTTTGGGTTATTTCAAATTTTTTTTTATAAAAAATATATATATATATATATATATATATATATATATATATATATAATTTTAATTTTTTTTTTAAATTACCAGATTTTTACACATGTCATTTAACGGGAGAAATTAACACTGTTGACGGCTTGGGCACATAAAATGATAACGTTTGTAACTTTACGTACTAAAATGAATAAAGAAATACTTTAAGCACATATTCGTGAAAAATGCTATAGTTTGGGCACTTATTTTTTTATTTAACCCATAAATAAATAAATGAACTGATTTTAGTTTAGGCCCAGTACGAGTTGAACAGGTCCAAGTCCAAGCTTCTATAAAGTAAATATATATATTTTTTTATAGAATCTCCATAGTCTTTTTTTTTATTTAGAAAATGGATTCATTAAACGCTCATCAATTACTATTTATCTAATGCAATCATTAAACGCTCACATCAGATTGAGATTTGACAGAGCCCATTGGGCTAGACCATGTGCTGCTCGATTGACCTCCTAGTTAACGTAGAACAGTTTAAGCCCATTGGGCTAGAATATCCATAATCATAGTAACTAAAGGTGGTTTTTGGGTAAATTACGTGTTTAGTACCTAGACTATCAATTTTAATCTGTTTTAATATCTAAACTTTTAATTTTTAAAATCATACATAACGTTTAGTTTTCATTTCATTTTTAGTACCCTTCGTTGAAAATTTTGAACAAGGTACTAAAATGAAATAAAAACTAAAGTTTTTAATGGTGGGTATTAAACAAAAACAAAAACTAATAGTTTAGGTACTAAATGTGTAATTTACCCTTTTTTGCCCTGACTAATCTCAATCATCTCACATTCCACACCTGGCTTTGGTGGGTGAGTCTTCCAACAAAGATTTTTTACATACACAAAGATCCAAACTTGAGACATGTTTAAACGATATTAAGCTTTATTAAGTCATTCGAATATTAAAAGTTAAAAATGACCATCCAACTATTCTTTATGTTCCAAACTTTTCCTTTTCCGTTAAAAAATCGGCGGTTGTCTAAGATGGATGTTGACATGATGACTTGAATATGATAGTCATTTGAGATTTTGGGATCATATTTTATCATAACACAGTCAGTTAGTTAACCTTCAACTCAGAATATCATTATTTTTTTAACAAAAAAGGACGTGTTTGGGACATATGAATAGTTGTGTGATCATTTTATAACTTTTAATTATCGAGGGACTTAAGAGGATCATTTTATAACTTTTAATAATCGAGAGACTTCATAAAGCAGTACCTTATAGTCGAGGGATCATTTATGTACTTTACCCTATTATTATGTGATTATTTTGTGTTAATAATTTTAAGAAGAAAATCTAATTATGTGATTATTTTACGATTATGATTATGATTGTAAATTTTTATTGTAATTCGAGATTTATTTTAATAAAATTAGTGGTTTTTATAAATAAATAAAATTTGTTTTGCACCTTTTTACTCTTTACTTTTGTCTTCCTAAAATGAGTTGATACATTTTGAATTCTTTATTTGGAGTTACAGCCAAAACATTATATATATATATAGTGAATCTTACTTCGATTTGACATCTTTAAACGTAATAACATTTTAAGAAGTTTCATTTTGAAGTGAAATGTTTTTTAATTAGATGAAAATTGTTAGTTAATTAACTGTTAATATTTTTTTTTGATAAGTTAACTGTTAATATTTCATATAGATATAATAAGTACATATGTGATGTCACTTCAATAAATTATTTTTTATAGTAAACTATAATTATAATTAATTACATATATACTTATAAATATATATTTAAAAAAAATTAAAAATATATTTTTCGATGATATGACATTACACGTGAACTTACCACATCAATAAGAATGGTTGACGGTTGTGTTGTCCTATAAAGATCGTTGGGTTTTTGTGGTTGCTGATAAATTAATTAATTTTGGTTAGAATTGTCCGTCTAGTTCAGTTGGTAGAGCACAAGGCTTTTAACCTTGTGGTCGTGGGATCGAGTTCTATTGAGGGCAATTCATAACGGATGTCTTCCACGGAAGCTGCTCTCAACATGGTGTTGGGGACAGCCTACTAC